CTTTCCTTCACATGCCCACTTTCCTTCACATGCCCACTTTCCTTCACATGCCCACTTTCCTTCACATGCCCACTTTCCTTCACATGCCCACTTTCCTTCACATGCCCACTTTCCTTCACATGCCCACTTTCCTTCACATGCCCACTTTCCTTCACATGCCCACTTTCCTTCACATGCCCACTTTCCTTCACATGCCCACTTTCCTTCACATGCCCACTTTCCTTCACATGCCCACTTTCCTTCACATGCCCACTTTCCTTCACATGCCCACTTTCCTTCACATGCCCACTTTCCTTCACATGCCCACTTTCCTTCACATGCCCACTTTCCTTCACATGCCCACTTTCCTTCACATGCCCACTTTCCTTCACATGCCCACTTTCCTTCACATGCCCACTTTCCTTCACATGCCCACTTTCCTTCACATGCCCACTTTCCTTCACATGCCCACTTTCCTTCACATGCCCACTTTCCTTCACATGCCCACTTTCCTTCACATGCCCACTTTCCTTCACATGCCCACTTTCCTTCACATGCCCACTTTCCTTCACATGCCCACTTTCCTTCACATGCCCACTTTCCTTCACATGCCCACTTTCCTTCACATGCCCACTTTCCTTCACATGCCCACTTTCCTTCACATGCCCACTTTCCTTCACATGCCCACTTTCCTTCACATGCCCACTTTCCTTCACATGCCCACTTTCCTTCACATGCCCACTTTCCTTCACATGCCCACTTTCCTTCACATGCCCACTTTCCTTCACATGCCCACTTTCCTTCACATGCCCACTTTCCTTCACATGCCCACTTTCCTTCACATGCCCACTTTCCTTCACATGCCCACTTTCCTTCACATGCCCACTTTCCTTCACATGCCCACTTTCCTTCACATGCCCACTTTCCTTCACATGCCCACTTTCCTTCACATGCCCACTTTCCTTCACATGCCCACTTTCCTTCACATGCCCACTTTCCTTCACATGCCCACTTTCCTTCACATGCCCACTTTCCTTCACATGCCCACTTTCCTTCACATGCCCACTTTCCTTCACATGCCCACTTTCCTTCACATGCCCACTTTCCTTCACATGCCCACTTTCCTTCACATGCCCACTTTCCTTCACATGCCCACTTTCCTTCACATGCCCACTTTCCTTCACATGCCCACTTTCCTTCACATGCCCACTTTCCTTCACATGCCCACTTTCCTTCACATGCCCACTTTCCTTCACATGCCCACTTTCCTTCACATGCCCACTTTCCTTCACATGCCCACTTTCCTTCACATGCCCACTTTCCTTCACATGCCCACTTTCCTTCACATGCCCACTTTCCTTCACATGCCCACTTTCCTTCACATGCCCACTTTCCTTCACATGCCCACTTTCCTTCACATGCCCACTTTCCTTCACATGCCCACTTTCCTTCACATGCCCACTTTCCTTCACATGCCCACTTTCCTTCACATGCCCACTTTCCTTCACATGCCCACTTTCCTTCACATGCCCACTTTCCTTCACATGCCCACTTTCCTTCACATGCCCACTTTCCTTCACATGCCCACTTTCCTTCACATGCCCACTTTCCTTCACATGCCCACTTTCCTTCACATGCCCACTTTCCTTCACATGCCCACTTTCCTTCACATGCCCACTTTCCTTCACATGCCCACTTTCCTTCACATGCCCACTTTCCTTCACATGCCCACTTTCCTTCACATGCCCACTTTCCTTCACATGCCCACTTTCCTTCACATGCCCACTTTCCTTCACATGCCCACTTTCCTTCACATGCCCACTTTCCTTCACATGCCCACTTTCCTTCACATGCCCACTTTCCTTCACATGCCCACTTTCCTTCACATGCCCACTTTCCTTCACATGCCCACTTTCCTTCACATGCCCACTTTCCTTCACATGCCCACTTTCCTTCACATGCCCACTTTCCTTCACATGCCCACTTTCCTTCACATGCCCACTTTCCTTCACATGCCCACTTTCCTTCACATGCCCACTTTCCTTCACATGCCCACTTTCCTTCACATGCCCACTTTCCTTCACATGCCCACTTTCCTTCACATGCCCACTTTCCTTCACATGCCCACTTTCCTTCACATGCCCACTTTCCTTCACATGCCCACTTTCCTTCACATGCCCACTTTCCTTCACATGCCCACTTTCCTTCACATGCCCACTTTCCTTCACATGCCCACTTTCCTTCACATGCCCACTTTCCTTCACATGCCCACTTTCCTTCACATGCCCACTTTCCTTCACATGCCCACTTTCCTTCACATGCCCACTTTCCTTCACATGCCCACTTTCCTTCACATGCCCACTTTCCTTCACATGCCCACTTTCCTTCACATGCCCACTTTCCTTCACATGCCCACTTTCCTTCACATGCCCACTTTCCTTCACATGCCCACTTTCCTTCACATGCCCACTTTCCTTCACATGCCCACTTTCCTTCACATGCCCACTTTCCTTCACATGCCCACTTTCCTTCACATGCCCACTTTCCTTCACATGCCCACTTTCCTTCACATGCCCACTTTCCTTCACATGCCCACTTTCCTTCACATGCCCACTTTCCTTCACATGCCCACTTTCCTTCACATGCCCACTTTCCTTCACATGCCCACTTTCCTTCACATGCCCACTTTCCTTCACATGCCCACTTTCCTTCACATGCCCACTTTCCTTCACATGCCCACTTTCCTTCACATGCCCACTTTCCTTCACATGCCCACTTTCCTTCACATGCCCACTTTCCTTCACATGCCCACTTTCCTTCACATGCCCACTTTCCTTCACATGCCCACTTTCCTTCACATGCCCACTTTCCTTCACATGCCCACTTTCCTTCACATGCCCACTTTCCTTCACATGCCCACTTTCCTTCACATGCCCACTTTCCTTCACATGCCCACTTTCCTTCACATGCCCACTTTCCTTCACATGCCCACTTTCCTTCACATGCCCACTTTCCTTCACATGCCCACTTTCCTTCACATGCCCACTTTCCTTCACATGCCCACTTTCCTTCACATGCCCACTTTCCTTCACATGCCCACTTTCCTTCACATGCCCACTTTCCTTCACATGCCCACTTTCCTTCACATGCCCACTTTCCTTCACATGCCCACTTTCCTTCACATGCCCACTTTCCTTCACATGCCCACTTTCCTTCACATGCCCACTTTCCTTCACATGCCCACTTTCCTTCACATGCCCACTTTCCTTCACATGCCCACTTTCCTTCACATGCCCACTTTCCTTCACATGCCCACTTTCCTTCACATGCCCACTTTCCTTCACATGCCCACTTTCCTTCACATGCCCACTTTCCTTCACATGCCCACTTTCCTTCACATGCCCACTTTCCTTCACATGCCCACTTTCCTTCACATGCCCACTTTCCTTCACATGCCCACTTTCCTTCACATGCCCACTTTCCTTCACATGCCCACTTTCCTTCACATGCCCACTTTCCTTCACATGCCCACTTTCCTTCACATGCCCACTTTCCTTCACATGCCCACTTTCCTTCACATGCCCACTTTCCTTCACATGCCCACTTTCCTTCACATGCCCACTTTCCTTCACATGCCCACTTTCCTTCACATGCCCACTTTCCTTCACATGCCCACTTTCCTTCACATGCCCACTTTCCTTCACATGCCCACTTTCCTTCACATGCCCACTTTCCTTCACATGCCCACTTTCCTTCACATGCCCACTTTCCTTCACATGCCCACTTTCCTTCACATGCCCACTTTCCTTCACATGCCCACTTTCCTTCACATGCCCACTTTCCTTCACATGCCCACTTTCCTTCACATGCCCACTTTCCTTCACATGCCCACTTTCCTTCACATGCCCACTTTCCTTCACATGCCCACTTTCCTTCACATGCCCACTTTCCTTCACATGCCCACTTTCCTTCACATGCCCACTTTCCTTCACATGCCCACTTTCCTTCACATGCCCACTTTCCTTCACATGCCCACTTTCCTTCACATGCCCACTTTCCTTCACATGCCCACTTTCCTTCACATGCCCACTTTCCTTCACATGCCCACTTTCCTTCACATGCCCACTTTCCTTCACATGCCCACTTTCCTTCACATGCCCACTTTCCTTCACATGCCCACTTTCCTTCACATGCCCACTTTCCTTCACATGCCCACTTTCCTTCACATGCCCACTTTCCTTCACATGCCCACTTTCCTTCACATGCCCACTTTCCTTCACATGCCCACTTTCCTTCACATGCCCACTTTCCTTCACATGCCCACTTTCCTTCACATGCCCACTTTCCTTCACATGCCCACTTTCCTTCACATGCCCACTTTCCTTCACATGCCCACTTTCCTTCACATGCCCACTTTCCTTCACATGCCCACTTTCCTTCACATGCCCACTTTCCTTCACATGCCCACTTTCCTTCACATGCCCACTTTCCTTCACATGCCCACTTTCCTTCACATGCCCACTTTCCTTCACATGCCCACTTTCCTTCACATGCCCACTTTCCTTCACATGCCCACTTTCCTTCACATGCCCACTTTCCTTCACATGCCCACTTTCCTTCACATGCCCACTTTCCTTCACATGCCCACTTTCCTTCACATGCCCACTTTCCTTCACATGCCCACTTTCCTTCACATGCCCACTTTCCTTCACATGCCCACTTTCCTTCACATGCCCACTTTCCTTCACATGCCCACTTTCCTTCACATGCCCACTTTCCTTCACATGCCCACTCACTCATACTCCACTCCCCCTCCTTCCCCATTTTGCCGCCTCCCCCCTTCCCCTCGTCCCCCCTCCCTCTTCCTCCATCCCCATTCGCCCCTTCCCCGTTCCCTCTTCCCCCTTCCAACTTCCCATTTCCCCCTTTCCCTGTCCCTCTTCCCCCTTCCCCCATTCCACTTCCCCCTTCCCGTTTCCCCCTCCCCCTCCCCCAATCCCCCCCCCCCCCCGCCATGGCAGTCTGCACGTGCTGGTGCCGGCGCTGAGGCAGGCGGGGCAGGCAGTGCTGATGGCGCGGGCGAGGGGCGTGGCGCTCGTGGTGGCGGCGGCGTGGTTTGCCATCGGGTGGAAGGACCGCATTCTGAAGCTCGTCGCTGCTAAACGCCCCGAGGACAAGGTGGGGCGTCGCATGGCATGGCATGGGGTGGTGTGGTGATACACGGTGGGGCATGGCATGGTGATACATGGTGGGGCATGGCATGGCATGGTTTGCCATCGGGTGGAATGACCGCATCTTGAAGCTCGTCGCTGCTAAACGCCCCGAGGACAAGGTGGGGCGGGAGATGGCATGGTGAGATAGGTATGGCATGGCAAGGCAAGGCAAAGCAAGGCAAGGCAAGGCATGGAGTGGAGTGGTTTGCCATCGGGTGGAAGGACGGCCTCCTCAAGCTTGTTGCTGCTAAACGCCCCGAGGACAAGGTGGGTCACGGTGGGGCGTGGTGTGGCATGGTGTGGTGGGACATGGCAGGGCGTAGTGTGGCATGGGTGCGGCATGGCATGCAGTGGTTTGCCATCGGGTGGAAGGACTGCCTGCTGAAGCTCATTGCTGCTAAACGCCCCGAGGACAAGGTGGGTCACGGTGGTGCATGGCATGGTGTGGCATGGTGAGACACGGTGGTGCATGGCACGGTGGGGCATGGAATGGTGGTGCATGGAATGGTGGGGCATGACGTGGCATGGTATGGAATGGGGTGGCGTGGCGTGGCATGGCATGGCGTGTCAAAAGCACACGTGCGCACTCCCATACATTCCCCCTCTCTCCCCTCCCTCCTCATATCTGTTACCACCTCCCCCCCCCCCATGCAGCCGGTGCTGGCGAATGTGAGTGCAGCGCTGACGCTGCTGCTGCGCGCGGTGGCAGGCATCACCATCGCTGACATGTTTGGAGTCAGCCTCAAGTCGCTTATTGCCATCGGTGGTATCTCAGGTGAGATGAGGGGCATCTCAGATGGGCCATGAGTGGAGAGGCGTTTTGGGTGGGCTTTGAGTGGAGAGGCATCTCGGATGGGTGCTTGTAGGCATCGCCATCGCCATCACCATCACCATGGCCGACATGTGTGGAGTCAGCCTGAAGTCGCTCATCACCATCGGTGGTATCTCAGGTGGGCCTTGCTTTGAGAAGCATCTGGGGTAAGCCGTGCCCTGAGAGGCATCGCCATCGCCATCGCCATCGCCATCACCATCGCTATCACCATCACCATCGCCCTCACCTCACCTCACCTCACCTCACCTCACCTCACCTCACCTCACCTCACCTCACCTCACCTCACCGACATGTGTGGCATGAGCCTGAAGTCGCCCATCACCATCGGTGGCATCTCCAGTGCGCCCTTCATTGACATGCATCTCCAGTGCGCCCTTCATTGACATGCATCTCCAGTGCGCCCTTCATTGACATGCATCTCCAGTGCGCCCTTCATTGACATGCATCTCCAGTGCGCCCTTCATTGACATGCATCTCCAGTGCGCCCTTCATTGACATGCATCTCCAGTGCGCCCTTCATTGACATGCATCTCCAGTGCGCCCTTCATTGACATGCATCTCCAGTGCGCCCTTCATTGACATGCATCTCCAGTGCGCCCTTCATTGACATGCATCTCCAGTGCGCCCTTCATTGACATGCATCACCAGTGCGCCCTTCATTGACATGCATCTCCAGTGCGCCCTTCATTGACATGCATCTCCAGTGCGCCCTTCATTGACATGCATCTCCAGTGCGCCCTTCATTGACATGCATCTCCAGTGCGCCCTTCATTGACATGCATCTCCAGTGCGCCCTTCATTGACATGCATCTCCAGTGCGCCCTTCATTGACATGCATCTCCAGTGCGCCCTTCATTGACATGCATCTCCAGTGCGCCCTTCATTGACATGCATCTCCAGTGCGCCCTTCATTGACATGCATCTCCAGTGCGCCCTTCATTGACATGCATCTCCAGTGCGCCCTTCATTGACATGCATCTCCAGTGCGCCCTTCATTGACATGCATCTCCAGTGCGCCCTTCATTGACATGCATCTCCAGTGCGCCCTTCATTGACATGCATCTCCAGTGCGCCCTTCATTGACATGCATCTCCAGTGCGCCCTTCATTGACATGCATCTCCAGTGCGCCCTTCATTGACATGCATCTCCAGTGCGCCCTTCATTGACATGCATCTCCAGTGCGCCCTTCATTGACATGCATCTCCAGTGCGCCCTTCATTGACATGCATCTCCAGTGCGCCCTTCATTGACATGCATCTCCAGTGCGCCCTTCATTGACATGCATCTCCAGTGCGCCCTTCATTGACATGCATCTCCAGTGCGCCCTTCATTGACATGCATCTCCAGTGCGCCCTTCATTGACATGCATCTCATCTCAAGGGCAGTGAGGGCCGTGTTAGGTGCGGTGACAGGCATCTCCATCCCCATCCCCATCCCCATCCCCATCCCCATCCCCATCCCCATCCCCATCCCCATCCCCATCACCATCACCATCACCACCTCACGCAAAGCTCACTCTTCCCCCTGCGCCCCCAATCTCCCCCGCCCCACCCACCCCCCTCCCCAATCGCCCCCCAGGTTTCGCGCTGGCGTTTGCATCGGAGAAGGTGGTGACCAACTTCTTCGGCAGGTTCGTGATCGTGCTGACACAGCCCTTCGGAAAGCGACGAACTCCCCCTCCTTTACCCCACCCCTCTCCCCCGCCCCACCAACCCCCCTCCCCAATGGCCCCCCAGGTTTCGCGTTGGCCTTCGCGTCTGAGAAGGTTGTGACCAACTTCTTCGGCGGGCTGGTGCTCGTGCTGGTGCTCACACAGCCGTTTGCCGTGCGCGAGAAGATCCGAGTGGCGGGGCTCAAGGGGTCTCTCCCATCCCCTCCTTCCCATCCTCACCTCCTTTCCCATCCGCTCCCATCCCTTCCCAGGTTTCGCATTGGCGTTCGCCTCGGAAAAAGTCGTCACAAACTTCTTTGGCGGGCTGGTACTGGTGCTGACACAGCCGTTCGCCGTGCGCGAGAAGATCCGAGTGGCGGGGCTGAAGGGAAAGGTGCAGGAGATTGGCTTCCTGCACACCACCATTGAAGGGGACGACCTGGAGGCCATCATCATCCCCAACTCCATCTTCACGTCTGCGGTGAGCCTCCCTCTCCCCTTCCTGCTGTGTGTGGTCTGAAGCCATCATCATTGAAGGGGACGACTTGAAAGCCATCATCATCCCCATCTCCATCTTCACGTCTGCTGTGAGCCTCCCTCTCCTCTTTCTATAGCCGTTTGGTGGTGCTGGGGCCTGGGGCATGGGGGTGGGATGGGAGCGTGGTAAGGCTCAAGGGCAAGGTGCAGGAGATGGGGTTCCTGCACGGCACGCTAGAAAGAAGGGAGTGTGGCGGGGCATGGGGGTGGAAGTGTGGCGGGGCATGGGGGTGGGAGTGTGGGCGGGGCATGGGGGTGGGAGTGTGGCGGGGCATGGGCGTGGGAGTGTGGCGGGGCGCAAGGGCAAGGTGCAGGAGATGGCGCACCATCGAGGGGGACGACCTGGCGCCCGTCATCATCATCCCCAACTCCAGCTTCCCCTCCGCTGTGAGCTCTCCCTCTCCTCTTTGTATAGCTGTTTGGTAGTGCTGGGGCCTGGGGCATGGGGGGTGGGGTGGGAGCGTGGTAAGGCTCAAGGGCAAGGTGCGGGAGATGGGGTTCCTGCACGGCACCATTGAAGGGGACGACCTGGCGCCCATCATCATCCCCAACTCCATCTTCCCCTCCGCTGTGAGCGCTCTGCTCTCCTCTTTGTATCGTTCCCTTGTCAACCTTGCGGTGGTTGCTGGTGGGTGGGGCGTGGGGAGTGCAGTGCAGGGGGCTGCATTTGGTGGTGGCTGCATCTTCACCCCCCGCCGTGAGCGCTCTTTCCACCCAACGCCTAGCTTGCGAATATACTGCCACCCATCGCCTAGCTTGCGAATATACTGCCACCCATCGCCTAGCTTGCGAATATACTGCCACCCATCGCCTAGCTTGCGAATATACTGCCACCTGCTCGTGCTCATGGCGCGTGGCGTGCAGAGGCATGGGGTGCAGAGGCATGGCGAGTGGGGGGCATGTGTATGGTAGGGCTTGGACGTGACGCGGGCCATCACACACGCGCTCACAATGCCCACTCCCCCTTTCCACCCCTCCTCCTGTACACCACCCCCTCTCCTTGCAACCCTCCCCCCCACCAGGTGATCACCAACATCACGCGTGCGGGGTGCAAGACAATGGAGGCGGCATTCGTGCTGCGACACGAGGACGTGCCGCGAGTGAAGGCCATCACACACGCGCTCACGGCATACCTGCACCAGCACCCAAGGGTGGACAAGAGCAAGGGGCCTGCGATGGGGTACCTGAAGCAGCTCACTGGCTCGGGGCTGCAAATTGGCGTCATCGCGTCTATCATAGACATGGTGCGTGCGGGCGAGGGTTAATGGGTGGTTGCATGAGATGGGGGGGAGTGGCACCCGCGGGTGAGATGCAGCAAGGGCCCCGCCATGGGGTATCTCAAGCAGCTCACCGGGTCGGGGCTGCAGATTGGCGTTGTTGCTTCCATTAAAGACATGGTGCGTGCGGGCGAGGGTTAATGGGTGGCTGTATGGGATGGGACGCGTGTGGACTGCAGCAAGGGGCCGGCCATGGGGTAATACCTCAAGCAGCTCGCGGAATGTGGGCTGCAGATGGGCGCCGTGGCGTCCGTTAAAAACATGGTGCGGGGGGGGGGGGGGTTGGGTTGCTGGGTGGTTGCATGGGATGGTTTGTGCATGGGTGGGATAGGCATGTGGGATGGGGGATGCATGTGGGAGATAGGTGGTGCACTGGGGGGATTGTGGGTGGGTGATGGATAGGCGGTGGACTCGGGGGATTGTGGGTGGGTGATGGATCGCGAGGGAAGCCGTTCCGGACAAGAAGCACTGCCATCATCCTCAGCAGCCGCTCCCTTCCGCTCCCTTTCACTCCCTTTCACTCCCTTTCACTCCCTTCCACTCCTCACCTCCTGTCACTCTCTCGTGCCATCAACCCCTTCTCACTCACCCCATCTCACTCTAACAAGAAGCGCTGCCATCATGAGCCACTCCCTCCTCGCCTCCTCTAAACCTCACATGCCATCACCTCACATCACCTTCACCGCACCCCACCCCACCCCTCCCCACCCCCCATCACAGAGCAAGAGCAAGTTCCTTCCGGTGCAGCAGGAGATACTGGAGAAGAGCGTCGAGATCATTCTGGCGGAGGGCGCTCAGCTGGGGGAGAGCGCGCCCTACGTGCCCTCCGCCCTCTCCAATGCTGCCTCCTCCTATGCCGCGTAAGACCTTAAGCCCCTCCCCCTCTCCTCCTATGCGTGGAGATCATTCTCGCCGAGGGCGCTCAGCTTGGGGAGAGCGCGCCCTATGTGCCCTCCGCTGCTGCCTCCTCTGCTTCCTATGCTGCGTAAGGCCCCTCCCCCTCCTCCTATGCTGCGTAAGACCCCTCGACCCAAGACCCCTCCCCCTCCCCATCTCCTATGCCATTAATCACTGTGCCGCACGGAGGGCGCCCAGCTGGGGGAGAGCGCGCCATATGTGCCCTCCGCGCTCTCCGATGGCGCCGCTGCCGCCTCCTATGCCGCGTGAGCCCCCTTTCCCCCTCTCCTCCACCATTCACCGTGCGTTGCGGTTGCCACACATGCATGCTGCCTGCTCCCCTAGATTGGTTTGGGGGTAGGCCGGAAAATCAGAGTTCACTCACAAATTCACGCTGAAAATCAGCCAAAAAGGCCTTATTTCCATTCAAAACCATTAGAAAATGACCAAGTCTTTAGGGGAAAAAGCTGACAAATCAGCCTTGGCCCAGAAAAAAAGGCTGAAAAAATGCTGAATCAGCGTAAAAAGGTTGAATCAGCGTAAACGGCTGCAATCTAGGGGGCTCCATGTGCGTGACACTCAATCACCCATGATCATGCCACACCCACCATCCTCTCTACTGCTTGCCTGTGCGCACCCTGCCACTACCCGTCATGCACCCCGGGTTCCCCCTGTCATGCACCCCTTCCCCCCCACCTGCCAGGCGCAAGAGCCTCCTGTGGCAACGGCGCCGCACAATGCATGACCCATGCGCATGGCAGGACTGACCACTGACCCGCCTCTACCCGCCATGCACCCCCTTCCCCCCTGCCAGGCGCAAGAGCCTCCTGTGGCAACGCCGCCGCCCACAGACCACTCACCTGCCCTCTGCCACACACCCATGCACCTGCCTGCCTGTGCGCACACCACTCCCCTCCATGCACCCCTCTCCATCTCCTTCCCCCTGCCAGGCGCAAGAGCCTCCTGTGGCAACACCGCCGCACAATGCATGACCCATGCGCATGGCAGGACTGACCACTGACCCGCCTCTACCCGCCATGCACCCCTCTTCCCCCCTGCCAGGCGCAAGAGCCTCCTGTGGCAACGCCGTCTGCTGTGCGCCCACTGCTTGCCTGTGCGCACACCAATCTCCTCCATGCACCCCTCTCCTTCTCCCCCCCTGCCAGGCGCAAGAACCTCCTCTGGCAACGCCGCCGCCGCACCGCCAAGCCCCTTTGAGAGGCACACTGCTGAGAATTCATGCATGCACATTGCCTGCACCTGCTTGGCTCTGCTCACCCCTCTCCATCTCCCCCCCGCCAGGCGCAAGAACCTCCTGTGGCAACGCCGCCGCCGCACCGCCGCCAAGAAGTGAGGGCAGTCGCAGGGAGGGCAGTCCAGTAGACATGGTCACACGGCACAGCGCTGGGAGCATGGGACAGCAGTGAGGGCACAGAACAGCACAGGGAACACACATGGCACACGTACGCAAAAGTGGGATGTCAAGTGCCGGTAACACAGCAGCTCTAGGGGTACGTTGATGAATAGCTAGTTTGGTCTCTTATGGTTGAAGATACTGGAGCAGGAGTGCGCAAAGGCAAGCAGCCGAGGCATGAGCACTATCCCAAGCTGAGGGTGTGCGGACAGACCCTCAAGCATAGTCCCTCAAGTATGGGGGGAATCTCAAGAGGGCTGGCAGCTAGGTAGTTCAGCGAGCATTGCAGTGCAGTAGGATTTCGTGAATTCTGCTGTACTGGAATTCTGCTTCACAGACAGAACACGCAACTGAGGCAGCCTACCAGTGAGCGAGGAAGCATTGGACGGAAAAGGATGACTATGGCTGCGCCTAAGCCTGAATGTTAGGTTACCAGGTCAAAAGACACTGTTATGGTCAAACGCTACCACCACTGTTGTTGGGGCTGTCAGTCCCCCGTGACCTGTCCCACTGGTGTGAGCTACGGTACCTAGGTACTTCAGGCTGTGCAATCCAAATGTGAAGTCACCAATCCATAAATGGTTGTATTTCTCAAGTAGGTGCAGTACCGTAAATACAATCAGGAGCAGGCAACTAGAGCACCTGGCATGGATAGTGGCCAACCGCTACCACCACTATCACAGCCAAATAACTTTGCAGCTGCACACACCACCACCACCACCAGCAGCGGCAGCAGCAACAGTCCTGCATGTGACCCTTTTGAACCAAACTGTCAGCTATGCTCTCAGCAGCAATTGGCAGCGCGCTTGCACCGCCATGCTTTGGCCCTCGCCTCCCTTCTCCTCCGCTTCCCTTCATCCTGCCCACCGTCCCCTCCCACCCTCAAGGTGACTTATGAGTCGACTCAAGTCACCGCTCTCAGCAGCAGTTGGCAGCGCGCTTGCATCGCCACGCCTTGGCCCGTGCCTCTTTTCTCCTCCGCTTCTTCCCTTTCACCCACCTGTCAGCCCCTCGTTCCCTCTCAGCAGCAGTTGGCAGCGCGCTTGCACCGCCATGCCTTGGCCCGTGCCTCCTTTCTCCTCCGCTTCCTCCCCTCCATCCTCCCCACCTCCCCCTCCCGCCCTCGCTTGCCCACACCTTTCCTGCCCTTCCGCCCACCCTCCCTTCCCCCTGCCACCCCATCTGTGCCCTTCCCTCTGCCCGTCCCTGTGCCCCCGTCTCGGCCATTGCTTCTGCTCCCCAACCTGATGCCATCACCACCCCTTGCTGCTGCACCGCAGTCAACCAAGCCCATGTGCCCCTCCCCATCTCCTCCCTCCTCCACCCCTTGCTGCTCGCCCTCCTCTGCCCCAACCTCCCCCTCTCCCCAAACCTTCAACTCCACCCCCTCCCCACCCTCAACCCCATCCATGTGCACATCACCCTCCCCTCCCTCGTCTCTGCCCTCTAGTGTCACCCCCCCCTCTCCTCTCCCGTCTCCCACCACTTCTACTCTCCCCTCTCCACTTTCCTCACCCTCCCCCACTCCCATCTGCTGCGTCTCATCCTCTGCTGCTCCCACGCTATCCTCCTCCTGCTCCCCCTCCCCCTGTGTCTGCCCCCCTGACCCCAAGCCTTCCTCCCCACCTGCCCTCCCTCCCTCTGCCTCCATCCCGCCTTCCCCTGCCTCTTCCCCTTCCCCTCCCCTTCCCCCCTCTGCGTTCTCCCCTGCTGCTGCTCCCCCCAGACCTCCGGCCTCCACACTGCCTCTGTCTGCCCCACTGTCACCCCCCCCAGCCGCCTCTCCTCCTTCTGCCCCTCCACCGCCTGCTTCCGTTCCGCCCTGAACCCCCTCTCCCCCCGCTCCCCCCGGTCCTCCCCCCCTCGTCCTCTCCGCGCGCCTCTTCCTGGGTTTCACCCCCACGTACTCGCCCCCTCCGCGCCTCCCCCGCACCACGTGCACGCTGCGCCCGCACACGCGCACCTCCGCGTCGTCCCCCACCGCCGCGCACCCCCACACGTCTAAATGGCGCAGCCCCTCCGCGCGCGCAAGCCCCGCGGGCAGCTCCGCCAGCGCGGAGCACTCGCGCAGGTGCAGAGAGTGCAGCGCGCGGAGGGACCCGAGATTGGGGGGGAGTGCGGCGAGCGACGGGCAGTACGAGAGCGAGAGGACGCGGAGCGCGGGCAAGCGGGGGAGCGACGCGGGGAGGCGCGCGAAGGCGCGGCAGTGGTTGATCGCGAGGCGCGCGAGGCGCGGCAGCGGCGCGAAGTCGTCGGGGAGGTCCGCGAGGAGATCGCAGCTGGTGACGTCGAGCGATTCGAGCGCGGGGAGGTGCGCGAGGGAAGCGGGGAGGCGCGCGAGCGCGGAGCAGCGCTCGAGGGCAAGGCGCTTGAGCGCGCGCAGCTGGCCAATGTCGTCCGGGAGGGCGTGCAGCGCGGGGCAGTCGGCGAGGGAGAGCGTGTGGAGGCGCGGGAGGGTGCAGAGGGACGCGGGGAACGCGGCAAGGGAGCGGCAGTCCGAAACGCGCAGCTGCTCCAGACACGTCAGCCCGCTGAGAGTGTCCGGGAGCGAAGCGATTGGGACGTTCGTTATAGTCAGCTCCTTTAACGCGCCCAGCTGGCCGATGGAATTCGGCAGAGCGGTGAGCGCGCCGCACGAGGTCAGGGTAAGCCGCGTCAGCGCGCTAAGCCCGCTTATGCCAGCAGGAATGGCGGTGAGCGCGCCGCACCGCAGGACCGCCAGCGTCTGCAGCGCCGTCAGGCGGCCGAGCGACGTGGGCAGGCTCCGCAGCGCGGGACACTCCTCCAACTCGAGCGACTCGAGCTCCACCAGCTGGCCCAGCGATTGCGGAACCGACGAGAGTTCGGACGCGAAAGAGACTTTGAGCGCGCGGAGCGCGGAGAGCGCGGAGAGCGCGGGGGGAAGGCGCTCGACGTGCATCAAGCGGACGAGCGAGAGCGACGTGAGCGCGGTGAGGCGGCAGACGACGGGGGGGAAGGAGTAGAGCGCGGAGAGGTCTGATAGCGTGAGCGCGCGCAGGGACGGCGCGAGCGCGGCGAGCGCGGGGGGAGGTGGGTGATGCGCGAGCAGGATTGGAGCGTGAGCGACTGCAGCGACGTGAGGCGCGCGACGCGCGCGGGGAGCGCGACGAGCTGCGTGAAGCCGTGCAGCCCGAGGTGCGTCAGCGCCGGCAGCGCCCACAGCGCGGTCGGCAGGCGGCGCAGCCGGCCGAGCGGCGCGCGGTGCGCCATGTGCAGCTCCAGGTGGCGCAGCGCGGGGGCCAGCGGAGGCGGGGGAGGGGCGGGCGGGGCGGCGGAGGCAGTGGCTTCCGCCACGCTTGTAGCCCCGTCGGGGTCGCGGTCAGCCGCGCCTCCCGCGCCCCGTCCGTCCGCGTCTTCTTCCTCCTCACCCGCCTCCGCCTCCGCCTCCGCCCAATCCCCCATCAGCGAATCAAGGCTCGACACGTTCTTCAGCACCAAGTGCGCCAGTCGCGGCAGCGCCAGCAGCTCGCGCGGCAGCGCGCTAATCGACCCGTACGGCGCCAGCACGAGCCGCTCCAGTGACGTCAGCATCCCGATCGTCGCGGGCAGCGCGGTGAGCGGCGCGTCGACAATCTCAATCTCGCGGAGGGCGGGCGCCGCGCCGATTTCGTCGGGGAGCGCGCGGAGGTGGCGGCATTGGCGGACGGCGAGGCGCGCGAGGGATGCGAGGGAGATGGGCGGAAGGCGGTGAGCGACGGCGTCCTCGAGGCGCAGCTCCTCCAGCTTGCGCCATTCCTCCCCCACGTGGGGCAGCGCGCATGTGATATTGCGCAGGTGCAGGCGGCGCAGCTCCTTGAGCGCGCCGATGCTCTCCGGAATGCCCTCTAGGCGGTACCACCCGTGGATTTCTAACGAAGTCAGCGCGCTCAGCGCGCCGAGCTGCGCGGGGAGCTGGCGCATCTCGCGGCAGCTCGACAGGCAGAGGCGGGACAGCCGCGGGAGCTGCCCGACGGACGCGGGGAGGCTCGTGAGTTTGGGGCAGACGACGGAGAGCTCCTCCAGCGCGCGCAGCGCGCCGAGCTCGTCGGGGAGAGCGCGGAGGAGCTTCAAACAGAGCTTGAGCACGCGCAGCGAAGAGAGCGACGCGAGCGAGGAAGGAAGCTTCGTGATGTGGCCGAGGCTGTGCTTCAACGTGAGCTCCTCGAGGCGCGACGCGCAGCGGAGGAAGCGACCAAGGCAGGTGAGCGTGATGCGGAAGTGGGGCGCGCCGGTGTACTGCGGTTCGTCCAGGCGCAGGCGGGAGAGCTGCGGGCACGCGGAGGGCAGCGCGCGCAGGAACGCGTCGTTGAAAAAGTCGACGCTCTTGTCGCCTAGCGTGAGCGAGTTCACGTTGGGGAAGCGCGCCAAGCCGCGCAGCAGCTCACCCGCGTGGAGGTGGCGCGGGGCGCTGACGTGGACGGCCTGCTGCGAAAGTTGCGCCAGGCGCAGCCAGCGGCGGCAGACGAGTGCGTGGTGCAACGTCTCGCCGCCAGATGCGCGTGCGAGAATCACGGAGAGCACGTCGTCGGGCAGAATGTTTATTGAATCCTTGCCGAGTGGCAGAGCGCCTTTGACTAATTCCAAATCACGCAGCTCCTCCGCCTCGCACGCATCCAGCGGTGCGGTTGTAGCCGCGTCCATGGCTGCTGCGGATGGAACGCCTCCGTGCGACGGCGCGTTGCTCCGGAAAACCTAGGTATTCTGGATGACTGGGATGAGGAGACGAACTACGAGGGACCGGCAGAGGTGATGGGAGAGGAAGAGTCAAACGGGGCAGGCATGTGCATGCAGCCCTCGTTGGGTGGTGGAGTGGAGTTTCTTCTTGTTCAAATGCGGACTGTGCTTTGCTTCACTTGCACTTTGCTTCACTGCCGCTAGCACGCATCATATACTGTATATCTCCCGCTCTCCGCTCGGACTTGCAGCGGGAGGCGGGGGGCGTCATGCTGACGACGAGTGGCGCTTACGGTGTTTTGGATTAGGCGGGATGGGCGGGCGCGGGGAAGGGCGCGGGATGGGCCGGTGCGCGCGGCTTCTTTCTGCCGAGCTGAGAGCAGGGGACTGGGCGCGATGGCGCGGAAAGTAGCGGGAGGGAGCGTTTTGTTGACGCGAGATGAATCTGGGTGAGATGAAAACACTGTAGCAGGTTGCCTCATGGATCGCGCTTTCCTTGCAGGATTCTGCTGTGAGGGTTGACGTGCAGGGCGGTTTGGGTTGGATGTCCAGCCGACGCCAAACCTGGAGAGGGGATATCCCCGTTTAGCGCTCATGAGCAAATAACATGGCAAATCATGCCTTGGCCGTCAGCATATGGCAGAATAAGTCTCACATGTGGTAATGAAAATACAGTATTATAGACAATATTTATACGCAGAAGTATTGCATACAAGAGCAGGGACATTTTGGAAGTTTAGATCCACACTATACTAACGCCCTCGTTTTTTAGTAAAACAGCTTCTTTTTGTCAGGAAGAGTTGGCACCCACAGGGAGGACTCAGGGGTTGTACTCATTGTGCTTGATGGCAGAGCCAGTGAAATGAGGTGGGAGGAGCAGCCTCAACGCCCAGAACCCGTGTGTAGGTACCCTGCATGCATGGCCCCTTCATTACTCTCATTTCTCCACCAGCACTCTTCCTGCTCACAACGGGCAACACCTGCTGCCGGGTTTGGGTCCGCCACACGCCTTACGGCCGATGGGGCAGCAGCCCCACGTGCGCGTGGTGACGTTGCGGAAGCACGCGCCCACCTTGCAGCACATGATGCCCCCGCAGCACGAGTATTCGTGTGTGTCCTGCCCCGCCGTCACCAGCCGCGGCGGATTGTGCGTGGGGAGGGATTGAACGGGATGATACAGAGACGAACGGATCACAGAAACATCATCAAAAGAAGAGCAAGAGAAAGCGGGCGTGACGGAAAAAACGTGGCGAGTTGATAGATACGCGATTGCGGTGACAGCTCGTTTCCTCCCGGCTCGTTCCCTCACAGCGCTTCCGCTCACATCGTTCACAGCACTTAAGTCCACAGCCTACTTCTCACAAGTCCTTCCGCACCCTCTTCCCCCACGTTTCCGCAACAGCAACTCCCTGTTTCCTCAAAACCACGTCTCCGACTCTGCTGCATTTCGTCCATTTGACACGCTCCCGTTCAACCCACCGCCCCAGCACGACTCACGATGCAGCATGCGCCGCCGCAGTAGATGCGGGGCTTCTGGCAGCCGGGGTATCCGGCCATGGGGCACACGCCCGTGTTCGGCTTCGGACACTTCACCGGCTGCTTCCTCGCCGCCGCCTGAAGCTCCCGCCGCCCTGCTTGCTTCGCTGATCCCGCGGTCTGTCCGAGCGCCATCGTCGCGACTCCGTCGCCTACCGAACGGCTGTTTTTATGATAGGCGGAGCGGGCTAGCGGAAAGAGCGCGACAATAATTATTAGTAGACACGTCACTGTGTTCGACTTCATCGTGAACGCTGAGTCGAGTGGCCTAGATACTCTAGTTAACATCGAAGCGCGACTGAAGGGATTGCCTTTATTTTTAGTTGAAGGGTGTTTTAGGATAACGTTCTAGCGGGCTCGGAGAAACAAGCAGTTGTAGCCGAAGCAAACGGAGTGGTAGAAGCAGACGGGTAAAAAAGGGGCGAAATTGTGGTGCCCAACTCCAAGCCCAACCCAACTCGCACTTCCATGACCGTCACTCTCCTTTCTTGCTCGTCGCGCCAGATGCACGTGGAGCTCGCGCGCGACTCGATTTGACGAAGGGGTGATTGGTTTGGAAGGAGGTGTGCTATGGGCATGACAGGGGGAAGGAACAAATTTTTCGCTTATGGGGAGGCGATGTTCAGGTGGAGGGCTTTTGTGTGATGTTTATGGTCGGTGTTTTGTGGTTCGGGGTCAACCTCTGTGGTTCGGTCTGCTGGTCTTCTCAAGTTTAGCGCTTCGTGGTTGGCTGCTTTCTGGTTAGGGGTCTCGGTAAGGTTCGGAGCGTGAAAAATTCTTCAGGTAAGGCAAGGTTGGGAATATTTCTCTGAGGCTTCTTCCCAACCAGCAGCCGCGCACACGCGCGCGTGCATGAAACCTCGTCGCTTCACTTTTCCCCAGAGCGGAAGCGCAGCCGACGGCGCACTCAATACTGTCACAGGTTCGGTGTGCTGTACAGTACTACCCAATATCGACCAAGCAGGAGGAAGCCCCTGGATATTTTCGTCACAGAGTGCTGCGGTATTCACAGATGGGTAAGGAAACAATTTAAATAAGGGTCATGTTAAAGCTGTTAGAACAAATTATTTCTTTCTTAGCGCTTTCATCAGTCACAAGTATCTTTCAATGGCACAGCATATCTACCAACTCCTGGATGATAAAGCACCAGATATCCTTTAGAAATGTTGCTAATTTCCGTGATTGCAAAGCATCAAGCCATTGGCCTTCAATCATAATCAGTCTACATGCAGCAAGGAGACTAAAGATGATGTATCGCGTAGACAGCAGCGGAGTAAGTGAGGTTAAGTACTCGGATTATTGTGGTAGTACATACATCTCAAGCTATATGCTGCATCCACACCCGAACACAATATATGTCTAGCGCGTTACCCAGACCGGGTACTATACATATCCACCCTAACAGCAAACCATTACCTATATCAGCAGGAAAAGGAAAACGCACGTCTAGCACCACCAGGCTACCATCGTGCTTATTATGCGATTTTATCACTCTGCCTATGTAGAACGCTAACAGATTTTGCTGCTCAAACCTTAGCTATTCCAGCAACATTGCCGGCCACCCTGGCAGGCCTTCTTCCCCAGCGGGCAGCAGTCCCACTGCCCTCTCTTGCGCTCGTAGCACGCCCCCTTGCGGCAGCACATCTGCCCCCCGCAGCACGGGTACTCGTGTGTGTCCTGCCATGCACGGGTGGTGGCGGGCGAGATGGGCGGTGAGATGGGGGGTGAAATGGGGGGTGAGATTTGGGTGAGATGGGGGATGAGATTTGGTTGAGATGGGGGATGAGATTTGGGTGAGATGGGGGATCAGCTTTGGATGAGATGGGGGTTGAGGAGAGAGGTGAGATGGAAGGGAGTGGGAGCGGAATGGGGAGGGGAATGGAAGATGAATGGGAGGGAAGAGAGAATTGGAGGAAATCGGAAGGGTAACCGGCGCAAGGCGGAAACGGTGGGGAATTGGCGCGAATGGAGAGGGAAATAGGATGGAAACGGGAGGAAAACGGGTGATGCAAACGGGAGACAGAGGGGAAGGGGAGATGCATAGTGAGTGGGACGGGTTAGAGTTGGGAGGGGTGACGGAAGGGGAATGGGAAGCCAATGGGAGAAAAATGGGAGGAGGATGGGAGGAGGATGGGAGAGAAATGGGAGGGGAACGAGGGAAACGGGCGAGGATCGGACGGGAATATGAAACGAACGGGAGGGGAATGATAAGGGAGTGGTAATGGTAAGGGAGGGACTGAGAGGAGAATATAGCAGCCGCATTCACGAGGCGAACCTGCGTGCGAGGCAGCCATCGTGCCCTGTTAGACGTCACGGCCTCTCAAGCGACGCGCGTGTGTGGAGTGCGAGTGTATGGAATCGCGAAGGGCGGCCGGGCCTGCTTCGGCTCTTGCATGCGACGGCGCAACGATAACCAACGCCGTTAGTACTGATCGCGCGACGGGGTGACGCGATCAGAGATTCTTAGCCTCTTTGCCCCACCGCGCGATCGAGACACGACGCACAACTGGAGTCCGCGTGACGATCCAACACCGGCTCGTCGTACGGGTTGTGAGGATAAACCAGAGTATTCGTCGCTCGGATTTTTTTCGAGAAAATATATAGTTCTTTTCGGACGGCAGTCAGCAAGCATCAAGCCACCCAGTACTCACGATGCAGCACTCGCCGCCGCAGAAGATGTCACGTGGTTGACACGTGTTTGTCCCCTTGTAGCGACACACGCCCGTGCCTTCCTCGCATCGCTTCGTGCCTCGCTCGACGCGCAGCTCTCGGCGGCTCAACTGGAGCAATCCAACTGAAGCAGCGCTTTCTGAAACAGTGCCGTTCAATTGCCGATGGCTCGTAACAGCATCTTCGTTTCCCGCGGCGTGGATGATCGATAGTCGCGCCGCCACGCAGATGAAGAGGAACCAGCACGCCGACAGCCTCATATTTAGGTGAGTAACAAGGAAATTTGCAGAGTTGATGGGTTAAAACGGGATGGACCGTTAAATCTCGACTATTGAAAGACAGGCAGAGACTCCGACCCGAGCACTTTACGTATCAGTGGATGGAAACGTGGCTGAAACAAAGAATGGGCCATGAAGGAATGGAGGGTGATGCCCGACGGGAGAGGCTGCGCGAAGCGACGTTGACGCATGTGGCAGGAGCAGGGAACGGGAGAGAGCAGCACAGCTGCAGCCGTGTTGAGGCATGTGGGATTCGTGCTGTTCCTCTTTCACCCTTTCTCCTGAATCCCATCTCGTCGAATTCTGCCGACTCCCCTCTGCACTGGATGGATGGAGCGCTCGCATTCGGACCGAGCCGCATCCCGCGACAATTTTGGTTGGAATGGGTGCGAGATCGCGCCTCCAGCGCTGTGTCCCCTCGCCTGCCCTTCTGGCACTCTCTTGTGAGACGGTGACGCAGCGCACTGCCAGCGTGGCTGGGGTGTCAGGCGCGTGGCTCTCACACTCGTGTGCCAGGTGGACGGCAAGTTTCGGCTAGGAAGCATGTACGGGGTTTCAAGGAAACCTCAACGAAAAGTCTTATCCTCGTTATGTTATACGCAGTCGATATGAGACTGTATGACGTGTTTTGTTAATTGCTAACAGGTTTCCATTATTCCTTGTGATTTGCATTGGGGTTTCGGGTTTAGGGCTAGGTGCAATACAATGCTATAATAGACAGCAAAAGCTACAAACAGAACCTGTAAAACGACGGCAAAACATACAATCTGAACCTATGTAGCTAAAGCCAAAGCTTTTCCTGCCAAAGCTTTTCTTAGCAACACTTGTGACCACATGCTTTCTGTCCAACAGGACAGCAACCCCACTGGCCGTGCCTATTTTGGTAGCATCCTCCTTTCTTGCAGCACATAACCCCTCCGCAGCAAGGGTACTCCGCAGAATCCTGTACCACAAAAGAGGCGTATGTACATGTTTTATAATATTAATATACTCGCACTCAAAGTAAAGCCCGAATATAAACTGAAGCGTGGATGACGACTGGCGGAAAGCGACCTAGGGCTGACAAGTCTTACCGTGCAGCAGGCGCCGCTGCAGAAGACATCGGGAGCGCTGCAGCCAGCGACGCCAGAGTACGGGCAAATACCAGATCCCGCTCCGCACCCCTGCTGGACTTTAATTTTCTTCAACTCCCGCCTGTGCGCTTGAACCTCTCGTGGCGACGCCTCCACTAAGATTGCGCTTGCCCCAAGCGGTGCTGTTTCAGCGCCTTTGCTGGTGTCAGCCGCGTGAACGAGGCAAAGCCCGACTGTAGCGAAGAACAGAAAGAAAGCGGCGCGAACAACGGGTCCCATCTTCCGGGCCTTTGAAATTCTTGGCTTGCGTAATTTCAGGCGAGAAAGAAAGATTTCAACTTGAAACTGTGCGGAGACGAGCTGAATGACTCAAATTGGGATTGATGCTGAGAGCAGACTATGCTTTGGAAAGACACTAGGAGGCAACCATATATATACCAAGCACTGTTCTTGGGTCGCCATTTCCACCGACGACTAACCGTCAAACACTAACTACGACGTCGCGGAAAGCAGATCTGAAAAGGTGACGCGCGACGGTGAGCAATGAGCAATAATTGTGGGATTCTGGGAAGCAGCGTCTCGAACCAAACTGGGCGTTGGTTGGCTCAACTCGATTCAACGCTGACTGGGCTTGCCCCACGGATTTCCCGAACCGAGCCTGCTGGTGGTGCGCTGGAGGCATGCTGCGGTGCCCGTGCCGAAGCTGGCGTTCTGGTGAAGTGAAGTGTCGCCCGCACGCGTCTGCGTCAGCGCGCGTCCAGGTGGTGGTCGGTTACAGGCTGAGATGGGGTAGCGAGATGGGATGGGGAAAGCCGCAGGTGGGTGGACCGTTCAACCACGCGATTGCATGCGGACGACACGGACCGGATCTGTTTCGTCCGACCGACTGGCAGTTGAACGCCGCAGGAACAACGGCAGACAGACCAGTCGTCGCATTTCATTCTGTCGGTCAGCGACTGGCGGATGCCAAACGAACGCACAGGTACAGTGCAAGGAACAAAAGATCGATACAAGCCCTCCTGTATTACATAGGAAATCTCAAGCCTATATTCTATTATAGCAACCATAGTCTTTCTTTGCATACTTCGCTTTGTGTTGAGACTGAAGGATTGCATTACGGAGGCAAAAAAACACCCAAAAACGGTTTGAGAGGGTTCATATTTATCCTAAATATTTAAATATAGTTGTGCGAAATTCTATGGTATTTATGTCACGAACTGGAAAATGACTGCAATGGATCATACAGGAAATTTAAACAGTTTCAGCTAAAGCCTAGGCCCAACATCAAAACATGTGTAACGACCGGAGTATAATAACGAGTTTAACCATCTCGAAATTACCAGTGTCAGAAATCTGCTTGTTCAGAAATCTGATGGAGCGCTGTGAGCCATTCGCAAAACCAAGGCTACAAAACGCGTGGCTGCAGTCACTGCACCTCAACAGCCATTCCCCAAAACGTGTGGTTTGAATCGGGTTGCGAGCTTCTCCGTGAGATTGCAGCCGCAAATGTGGTTGGAGCATGCGCTGGACGTGTCAGCAACGACGCAAAAGATGCGCAAAGTGGATAAGGTCTCGGTTTGATAAAGAAAAGATTTGCATTTGGACAAGGGTTTCAGTTCTTCCTCGATGTGTGCTAGAATTTGATTGTTTTCGGGCAGCTTCGATAAACAAGCAGGCACAGCGAAGCACTTGGACAAAAACGTATTTTTGGACTGATGGCAACAACATGATGCGGAATCATTGTTGCAACAGGCGGATGCTGCCGTTGGTTCAAAAAGAGCCAGCCAGTCTCTTTACAGTACATCGCGCCGAATTCTCGTTGGCAACTCCGAGACAAAACGACCGAAGTCCGAGGCTAGCAAGGAGGTTTGGCATTATGTGACAGGTAGCTCGGTCAGTTCACTCGTTGACCGGATAACAAATCTTACAACAGTGCTGCCTGCCTGCCTACCTCATCGCCAGCACGCAACCGCAATTTCCACCCATCGTCCCTCATTTCCCCCATTTCCCCTCTTTCCCCATCCACTTTTTCGCTGCCCCTCCTTCGGTTTTCCTCATCAGCTTCGACACTCAAATCAGCAGACGTCACCACCACACACAACCACATCTGGTGGGGGAAGGCTTGGTTTGGAAACGAGGAGTCAGGCAAAAGGTGCAAGATGAGATGACTGGTGCGCGCGCAACAGGCATGCACAGCGCTGCTTTTTTTTCTCCGCTCTGCACCTTCTCTTGAAGCTCGGGGAGGGGAAGGCAAGTGGGGGGAGGGCGAGGGGAGGAAGCAAGGCTGGAGGATGACTGGTACAGTGCAGTATTCGCCTGGCAAACTGTTTCAAAAGCTGAGAGGAAAGTTGCAATCAGGCAATTTGCTCTGATTCATTTTTCCAGGAAGATGAAGCCTAGGATGACTTGAGTTCTGCGCCACAAGGATCCCAGACCCACCTGCCTCAGCATGCTATGTTTCTACATTAGTAAAGGCCGAGCTTCGTTCCCAGCAGCCTTCTATCTGCCAGGATTCTGTTAGTATTCGTCTGATATACTGTGATCGTGCGATTATTCTGTTAGTTTAGCTTGTAAGTGGTTTTTTGCTTTTGTATCCAGACTAGAATCGATCCCTTCCCGTATCCGCGAGACTAAATAGGATGGCGGCACGCGACAGCGACGCGATACCATCGATGGTGGAGGATTTTCCATCGCTGAAGGCCAAGTGGGTGGTGATGCAGCACGCCAAGAAGCCTGCTACCATCTTTGACGATCTTGCGTTCGTGTGAGCTCCCATGACGGATTCTATCCTCGTTATTGACTTGTATTCTGCGGTGATGGATTACGATCCTCGGTCATTTCATCTTAGGGTCGTCATACATTTGCTGTACCAGCTTTCGCTGATCTGCTCTCATCCTATGACATTTCCGCGGCATCTTATTATCTCTGCGCATATTCTATTCATTATTACTATGATATTATCATACTGTAATTATTGTTTAATCTAGTCTGATTCTCTCCCTGTCTCTCTCCAGCCCCGAGCACGACCTACTGGATGCCTCGTGGCTCGACAACGCCGCGCACGATCTTCCGAGCAAGGCGGCGAGCAGGCAGGGCAAGCCAGCGTGGCAAGTGCATCTCAAGCCCCCCCAGCCCGCCTCCACCGACGTTGCCCCCTCATCTCTCCGCAATTCCCCCCTTCCGCGCGATGCCAATCTCGAGGGCCTCCTCGCCGCGCAGCTCCCGCCGCCGGGAGGTGCGGCTGGAAACGCGGCAGGGAACGCGGCGGCGCTGCGCGAGGAAGAGATGGAGGCGTGGTTTCAGTACCCGCTGGGCGAGCCCATAGACGGTTTCGGGCGGTTCAGAGCGGTGGAGGGGCTTAGTGTCGATGACGGCGGACAGGGGTTGGAGGGTTGGCGCGCAGATGAGATTTCCGCCGTGGATCTTGCGCGGGGGAAGGCGGCTGCTGGCTCTCGCGCAAGCCTTGCGGAATTAGCGGCGCTTTCGCAGGCCGGAGCTGGCGCAGACACGGGCGCACATGCCGGGGGGCTTTGCGGAAACTCACAGGCGCAGCAGCGCGCCGAGCCGGTTGGCGTTCCCGCGACTGAGGTGGGAGGCAGAGGCGCGGGGCAGATGGGCGGACTGAACAGCATGGTGGCGGCGTCGCTGTTGGCGCAGAAGCGGGGCTTTGGCGGGCTCGGCGGAGCGGAAGCCGGCGGGGGTGGCGCGGGGGAAAGAGGTGAGCGCGAGGCGCAGCTGTTGAACCACCTGCGGCTGCAGCAGCTGCAGCAACAGCAGCACGTAGCGCAGGTGCGCGCGAGTCGGCAGCAACAGCTGCAGGGGCTGCAACAGCAGGAGACGGACGAGGAGGCGGGGCTGCAGCAGCAGCTGCTGCTGCTGGAACAGCAGCGACTAAGGCAGCAGCACCAGATGAAGCTGCGGCAGATGTGGCAGCAGCAGCAGCAGCAGCAGCAAGGTGACGAGGCTGCAGCGTTGGCGGAAGCGGCTCAGGGGGAAGCGTTGAAGACCCAACAGCAGCTGCAGCAACCGCAGCAGCAGCAGTCGCACCAGCAACACCAGTCGCAGCAGCACCAGCACCAGCAAGTTTCGCGGTTCCCCATCCCCGCGCCTGCTGCCGCCCCGCCGCTCAACTTCTCACACTTCTCCCGCCCCGCCGCTCTTTACGGCCGCGCCAGCGCTAAGCCCTTATGCGCCACCTCTCCCGCCCCCGCAGTTTCCGCCGCTCCTGGCGGTGCCGCGGGCGCGTCGTCGAGTGCGGCGGCTCCCCTCAGCGGCAGCGCGGGCATCGCGGGTGTGAGCGCGCGCCTGGCGAATAAGGCCCTCGCGGCTCTTAAAACTGGCAAGCTCGCGTCACCTCCCGCGTCGTCCGCTGGCGATTCCAACGCGCTCGCCGTCGCTCCTACTGAGGGGATTCGCGACGCGACGGTCGGCACGGCGGCAACTGCGGCGGCTGGCACGGCGTCAGGAGCGGCAGGTGCGCCGGCACCGGGTGCGTCGAAGCCTCCCGCCTCGCATGGTAACGTGCCGCGCCCGACCAGCGAGTCTAACGCCAGTGCCGCCGCGATTGCCGGCGCGTCAAACGGCGTGGTGACAGGCAACTGCGGGCCAACCGCGCGGCAAAGTGCGGCGTGTCGGCCTTTGCCGTACGCCCCTTTAAACGTGTCGCGCCAGCAGCAGCCGCAGCAGCGGCAGTTGCGGGCCGACGCGCGGCAACCCGATCAAACGCAGGAGCCGGCGGGGAATGCGGCGGAGCGTTCGCCTGACGCGGGGCACGCGTCGACGGTGACGAGCAACGCGCCCGCGACTTGCGGCGCGAACGGCGCGCACAAAGCGGAAAGAGCCGCGACGGGCAGCTCCGGAATGGTGAGGCGCGCGGAGGAGGGCAGCGGAGGCGGCAGTGCGGGGGGCAGCGGTGGGGAAGGAAGCGCGGGCGGGGGCACGGAGCGGACAGGGCAGGCGGAGCGGCCTGCGCGCACCGCCAGCATCGGCGGAACGAAGGATTCGTGGCTGCCCGGAGCGAGCCGCGGAGGGGCGCGCGGAGGGCGGAAGCGGGGGAGGGAGGAAGGGGAGTACGCGCGGACAGAAGACTTGCCCGAGGAGAGCCTGGATACGCGCAGAACGGGCGCGACTGGCGCGACGGGCGCGACGAGCGGGGCGGGGCGGAGAAGCGGCATGGAGGGCAGCGCAGCGAAACGAGCGCGCGCCGCTGAAGTGCACAACATGTCGGAGCGAGTGAGTGGCGGAGAGACGAGGGGGAAAGTGCAGTGCGAATGGGCAGGAGGGTGGGGGAATTTGGTAGGAGGGGGAGGGGTTGGGATGTGGGAGGGAGGATTGGGGGGCGGAAACAATTGGGGTGGTTTTTTTAAGGTGCATGGCGTGTATGCGTATTGTGCTCGCCGCGCTCCCGCGCTCCCGTGCGCCCATCTGCATAGCACTTCCCCCTGTCCGTTCCTTTCCCCCCACCTCATCCGTTCCGCCGTCTCATCCGTTCCACCGTCTCTTCCGTTCCGCGTCTCATCCGTTCCCCCGCCTCCCCCCGCGCGTGTTTGTGCGTGTGATTCCCCCCCCGCGCGCAGAGGCGGCGGGATCGCATCAACGAGCGCATGAAGGCGCTGCAGCAGCTCATCCCCAACTCCAACAAGGTGCGCCCGCGCTCCCCGTTCCCCGCCCCCCGGCCCCCCGGCCCCCCCCTCGCCCCTCGCTCCCCACCTGTCGGTCCCCCAGTCTCCCTCCGTCTCCCGACCCCTCCCGCTCGTGCTTGGGCTGTCTCCCCTTATCCACCTTTCATCCGCCTTGTGCCTCCATCTCACCGCAATGCCAGTCCCTCTCCCCCATACGTTTCCTGCATTCGCACCTCTCCTGCGCCCTCATTCTCTCCCCTCCCTCTTTCCCCCCTCCTGTCCGCTCCCCCAGACGGACAAGGCATCAATGCTAGACGAGGCGATAGAGTACCTGCGCATGCTGCAGCTGCAGCTGCACCTCATTCCTGCTCCCTGCACCCACATCTCACCCTGCATTCCCATCCTTCCTACCCCGCTCCCCTCCTCCGCCAACAGACGGACAAGGCGTCGATGCTGGACGAGGCAATAGAGTACCTGCGCATGCTGCAGCTGCAGCTGCACGTCATGTCCGCGCGCACAGGCATCGCGCTCCCCCCCGCGCTCGCGCTCCCCCACCCCACCTCCCTCTCCGCCCTCCCGTCTGGCACCCCCTCCGCGGACCAGCTCCCCGCCCCTGGCGCGGCTCTGGGGGGGTTCGGGCTCGGGGGAATGGGAATGGGGGGGATGGACCTGGGCGATATGGGCCTGGGGATGGGGGGAATGGGGGGAATGGGCGGAATGGGCGCAATGGGCGGACTAGGGGGATTGGGGCTCGGCATGGGGGGCCTGGGGCTGGGAGGCATGGGAGGTTTGGGTATGGGCATGGGCGCAGGGATGGGCGCAGGGATGGGCGCAGGCATGGGCGCAGGGATGGGCGCAGGCATGGGCGCAGGCATGGGCGCAGGCATGGGCGCAGGCATGGGCGCAGGGATGGGCGCAGGCATGGGCATGGGTCTATCGGACTTCTCATCCCTGCCAGCAGCGCAGCAGGAGATGGGGTTGATGATGGAGATGGCCGCTGCAGGGGCGGCTGGCAGAGCTGCCGCTGCTGCCGCCGCTGCTGCTGCTGCCGCCGCCGCAGCAGCAGAAGCAGATGAAGCGGGTGCAGTGCAGAGGCAGCGGGTGCAGCAGCAGCAGCAGCAGCAGCAGCGGCTGATGGCGCAGCTGCAGGCGCAGCAGCAGCAGCAGCAGCAGCAGCAGCAGCAGCAGCAGCAGCAGCAGCAGCAGCGGCAGCAGCAGCTGCAGCAACAGCAGCAGCAGCAGCAGCAGCAGGCGCAGCAGCAGCAGCAGAGGGAGAGGCAGGTGCAGCAGGCGAGGGAGAGATCAGCACTGGGAGCGGGCATGTCAGCTGAGGAAGCTCTGACTGGCCTCAATGGGGGCAGCGGCGGCGGTGATGGCGGGTGTGGGACAGGGGCGGGAGGGGCGGAGGGGAGCGGGGCGGGCGGGTGGCAGGTGCAGGCGTCAGGGGTGGATCCCATGGAGGCATATCTGGCACGGCACCAGCGCATGCAGCAGCAGCAGCAACAGCAACACTTGCAGCAGCAGAAACACATGCAGCAACAGCAGCAGCAGGTGAGCATGCACATTGCCTCTCTGCTCTTCTCCTCGCCTATCCCTTTCCTTTTTTCCCGCGTTCCCCTCTCCCATGTCCCTTTTTCCCTCGCTTCTGCTTCCCCCCTCCCCGCCCCGCCTCCCTGCCTCTTCCTCCTTTCTCTGTGGAAGCTCTCATCTCATGTCCTTTTGGCTTCTCTTCTGCTTTCACCACTCCCTATTCCCCCTCTTGCAGCCATTCCCCTTCTTTCTGTTTTATCTTCCAGTACCCTCTGCATTGCGATGACATTCTCCTCCCTCTCCTGTTTTCCCCTTTTAACTCTTTTTCTCTGCAGCCGCTCAATTTGGAAATGTACCATGCCTTCCTTCAGCAGCAGCAGCAGCAGCAGCAGCAACAATGATTGCAGCTGTAATAACAGTAGCAGCCGCCACTAATGCGCGGCCGCAAGGCACCTGGATTTCCTCAATGTTGGGAATGGTCCATATCATACCTGCTCATGTTGAGCATGAGCAAGTGGAAGTAGGAGAAATCACTGACTGTATATATGGCATGTGTTATGTCCTGACATCCTGTTTATTCCTATTCATTACATTTACTGAATGGCAAAAAATTTGAGGAGATGTAATCCTCTTGTAGGCGAATATCTACACTGACCCTTTGATTTCGCAGCTGACGGCCAGGCCTTTCCGCTGGGAGAACCACCCGTTGCGTGCTCTGAAACAGTCGCCGTCAAGCGGAGGGGTGTAGAATCGCGCGGAGCGTTACTCGGCGGGGGAGGCGGAGGAAGACTGGCGGGCGATGTCACAGGCGGACCTGCGAGAGTGACGAAGGGTAACATTCGTCGCACATTACGACATTCCAGTGATCCGTTCCGTACAAACAACCCTTCGGCGCAAGGACCAGCTTTCGCGAACAGACAGGTTGTCAGCGCCTGGACGTGAAATCACTTGCTGAGACAAACGCGTCCTTTTGATGATGCGTGCGCTAGGCTCCGTCGGTCGGTTACTTGCAGTCTGCCTCCAGAAAGTACAGCAAGCAGGTTAATCACCACTTGCGCGCGCCTGCTCCCTTCCCTCCACCACACTCTTAGCTTTCGCACGCGCACACCGCTTTTGCCTTGCTTGCAGCGCAACAATAACGCCTTTCCTCCGACCTCCTCCCCATTCACTTCGCATCGCTAGCTCGAGCCGTCTGTGTGTTTGGCGTCTCGTTCCCTCCGCTAGCTGCGCGGAGAACCGGGAAGACAAGCCACCGAAGGAAGCGAGCTATTCTCGTTTCTCCGCCGGCTTTTGCGCGCAGCTCCCGCTCCTGTTCGCGGCCTCGCAAAACTTGCGCCATTCGCGCACCCCGGGAACGCGGCGATGGAAATACAGCTCGCGGCGGCAGCAGTCCGCGCGCTCGAGGCAGCGCTCAAGCGGAAGCTCGAGGGGGAGGCGGTCGGGGACTTCAACGTCGACGCTGCGGCGGAAGCTTCCGCGCTCCTAAAGCGCGCGCGCGTCAACCCCGAGGGAGGCGCGGCTACGCAGAGCGGCAGGCCCGAGGCTGGCGCAGCAGGACGCGCCGACGGTTCTTCCGATCGCGGGGATGCTAATAACGCTGACGCGAATCGCGCAGAGAGTTCCAGAAGACCAGCTGCGGGCGGCAGCCGGCCGGCCGCGCGAGGTGGCGCCGATGACGTCATGCCGACGCGATCTGAGCTGGAGGCGATTTGGCAGTTAGTGCACTCGGGGTACTTCGCGGGCGGCGGGGAGGGAGAGCTGCGCGAGGGGCAGGGCGCGCACGAAGCGGCGGATTTGGCGGGCGCTTCGGGCAGCAGAGGAGACGGGTCGTTGCCACGTGCCGTGGGAACGGCTGAGGTGGCAGCGCGAGAGGGAAGGGCGATTCGGAAGGCCTGGGAGGAGTCTCTCTCCGCGCAAGGCGGGGGGGCGGGCGGAGGCGTGGGGGAGCGGGGCGGGAAGGCGGATGAGTTTTTGGGCGGCGGGGGGCAGCAATCGTCGAAGAAAGGGCAGAACCTGGGTCCCCAGGCCATGGCCGCGCGGGTGAGCGCAACGCTCGGGGGGAAGGGGAACCGGGGGAAAGGGGAAGGGGAAAAGGGGACGGGGGTGGAGGAGGGGGAGGAGGGGACGAGTGATGAGCGTGGGAGGGAGGGGGGGATGGGTGTGGATGTGGAATGGCGGAAACAGGGAAGTTAGGACGTATGGGCGCAGGGTGGATGTCTTGGGTCACCCAGTGTCGTCAGTGTGACAGGAGCACAGCCTGACGGACAAGAGAGATGACTTGACTGTCTTCCCTCCACACGCACTGTTACCAGCTCTCTTCCCCCCACCCCGCCCCCTCCACACACACTGTTATCCATTCTTCCCCCACACTCTCTCGTACCCCGCCCTCCTCGCATTGCTGCCGGCTCGCCATCTTTCCCTGCTACTCGCACTCCCCATCTATGCCTGCTACTCGCACTCGCCCTGCCCCTCAGAAGCGGCGCGAGGGAGTGGATGCTCGCATGCTGGTGCTACACTCTCGCACCGCCACTCCCTCATGCACTCGCGCTAGCAGATCTTGGGGCATTTTCCAGTGAGCAGCAGCACTTAGGTTCAGGCTTAAGCAAGTGTAAATCTAGTTCTCCCGCACCGCTACTCCCTCATGCACCCGTGCTACCTCCTCTTATTCACCCCCTTCCCCCTCCCCCATCTCCTCAGATGAGGCGCGAGAGGGTCAACGCGCGCATGAGGGTGCTGTGGGGGCGGCAACCATGACAACAGAGAGTCACTTTCCTGCTCCTCGCTCTCACCCCCCACCTTCCCAACCTTTCCCCCTGCGTCCCCTCGCCCCCTCCCCCCATCCCTCGCCCCCTTCAGATGCGGCGCGAGAGGGTGAACGCGCGCATGAGGGTGCTGCAGGGGCTGGTGCCGGGCGCAGCCACAATGAGGACAGAGCGCTTCCTGCTGGAGGCTGGTCCCCAGTGCTCCCCACACGCACTCCCGTCCCCACTCCTCCCTCATGCGCCGGCGCTGCCTTTTCTTCTTCCCGACTCTTCCCCTGCACCCCCCCTTTCAGATGCGGCGGGAGAGGGTGAATGCGCGCATGAGGGTGCTGCAGGGGCTGGTGCCGGGGGCGGCCACAATGACCACAGAGAGCTTCCTGCTGGAGGCCGTTCACTACGTGCGCTTCCTGCTGCAGCAGGTCATGGTGCGTTCAGTGCTGCTCTGCTGCCCACCCCCGCTGCGTTCCCTGCTGTTCTGCCTCCTCCTCCCAGTGTGTTCCCTGCTCATCCCTTCATCCCCTCGCTCCTGCACCCCTCGCCCCATTCTCCTCACTCTCCATCTGCGCACTCTCCTACTCACCCCTTCTCCCCACTCCACCTCTCTCCTGCTGTCCCCCCCCTCTGCTTTTGCAGGAGCTATCAGAGCTCTACACCCCTCAGAACCGCAATAGAGAGGAGGGGGAGGGGGAGAGTGGGGAGGCAGGGGAGGGTGCTGGATGCAGCGCGGAGGGGGGGCCTGGGGGGAAGGGTGACGTGGACAGCGAGTTGAGGCGGGAAGGGCTGCGATTGGTGCGTGTGGATCGGCTGTTGCCGATAGTGGGGGTGGGGGGACTGCTGGATTGTATTCTGGTGAAGCAGCAGCAGAGGGAGGAGCAGCGACAGGAGGAGGGGAGGAATGAGGAGAGGGAGGAGGGGGAAGAAGGGATGGGAGGCGAGGAGGGAGAGGAGGGGGACGAGCAGGAGGGGGACATGTTGAGAGAGGGATCAAACTCACCCCTGTCAGAAGGGTAATGGGAAAGGGGGGAGGGAGGGGGGAGCGGAGGGGGTTGTTCTTTGTTGTCCACCTTATTATGGCGATCACTGTAGATCAGAATAACAGGTGAATATATGTGGCTGGAAAGAAGAATCTTGCTGAGCCAAGCAAACAACTTAAAGTTGGATAGCCTGGGATTGGTTTGGGTTGGATCGGATTGTATTGATCTCTGTTTTTTTATCGACTTTCCTTCACGTATACCTACTTGTGGCGGTGTATGCCAAGTTTTGGTTTGGCTGAAGTCTACCTGAAATTATCGAGGAAACATTTGTATCGGGGATTTCTAGAATCATGGCCACCGAAATCCGTCCCTCCAACCGCTGAATCTCCCAACGCCGATTTTGATTGGCTGACTCGAGATTCAAGAGTTGCTCCCACCACGGCCGCCAGACTCGCTTCGCTGACCACCACGCTCGCCTCCTCGAGAGTAGATTTGCTGGTAGCGCGACGCGTTAATCCGCCCAATCAGTAAGCCTTCGCGAATAGCCTGCGCTGTTCCCGCCGTCTTTCGCGGTTGCTATCTCACCCCTAATGGCCGCCGTCGCCGCATCGCTCGCGTCCGTAGCGTCCTGCGCCGTCAGCTCGGCGCGCTCTGCTGAATCGAAGCCATTGGTCCACGTGTCGCCCATCAACAGGCTCAGGTGCGGCTGACTAGACGAGGGGGAGCGTGAGTGCGCGTCGTTGCGTTCTCCTCGTCATGGCTGATTAGCAAACGGGTCTCGCCGCAGTTGCGGCCAACAGCCATCGAATGTGTTCCTGAAATACTCTCTTATTTTGTCGTCAAATTCGACGCATCGCATCGCGTAAAGCACACCTCACTATCCGCCTCTCTGCTTACCCTCCATCGTCGTGCCAGGGTGTCGTACGCGATCAGTCGGTCGCAGAGCCAGTCTCGTCGCACATGTAAGTCGACAGTCGCATGACCGTGTGTGTCGCATCGCCATGTGTCGCCGTGCGTCTGTTGTGGTGCGCGACGCAGCGCCATGGCCCGTGGGTGGGTATGAATGACGGTGCTTCCGGGCAGCGCTGGGTGTTTCCGGGCAGCGATGGGTGTTTCCGGGCAGCGATGGGTGTTTCCGGGCACCGCTGGTGTTTCTGGGCAGAGCTGGGTGTTACCGGGCAGCTCTGGATGTTTCCGGGTAGTTCTGGATGTTTCCGGGCAGCGCTGGCGCTGGTGACCGGGCAGCAGCACTCTGTGTTACCGCCCGCGCTCACCCAAGCACAGTCCCTCCATCTCTCCTGCCATACCCCCACCGCCCTCCATGCTCCCTGCATGCTCCATTCCTTCTGCACTCCCCCCATGCCCCCGTGCTGCCTTCCCTTCTTCCCCCCTATCTCCTGCCATACCCCCACCCCCTCCATGCCCCCTCCATGCTCCTTTCCTTGTAACACTCCCCCCATGACCCCCTGCTTGCTCTCCCACCTCCCTCCACCCTGCTTCCTCTCCCCCGCCCATTCACCCTGCGTGCTCTCCCCCCCATTCACCCTGCTTCCTCTCCCCCCCGCCCGTCACCCTGCTTCCTCTCCCCCCCGCCCGTCACCCTGCTTCCTCTCCCCCCCGCCCGTCACCCTGCTTCCTCTGCAGCGCTCACTGTCAGGGCGTCAGGTGAATCTTCAGACACGCCAGCCACTGATTCCCCTGCTGCCGCAGCTGCAGCTTCGGCAGGGAGCAAGCCCACACCTGAGGCCGCCTCGGCAGAGTCAACATCAGCCTCGGGAGTGCCGGTCCTGACCATAGTGGCCGGCTTCTTTGTCTTTGCCCTCGTGATCTTCGCACTCTTCTCCCTCGCCAGTGCCATTTTGGGCATTTTCTTGCGCTGAAAATGATTCGCTACAATTCGGTTTGCGAATGTTTGATACCTGGGTTGCAGTTGTGATAAACGTTTCTGTATAGCGCCAATAATAATCGGTGTACTAAGCAAAGTAATGTGAACTTCTGAGCCGTGTTCACAATTCCCGACAGTGAAATCTGCGAACCCCGTAGCGAGCAACGAATCTCGTCGTCACGCTCACGTCGTTACTAGTTTTCCTTATTATTCGCATTTCACCTGGTGACGCGCGACTCATGACGAAGGATGACAGGAAGCGGAGAACGCGTGACGGGGACGACGGCGAGAGCGACGGAGAGGAGGATGGGAAGGGGAGGCGGGGCGAGGAGGGAGGGAGGGAGAGGAAGGAGAGGAAGGAGAAGGAGCGAAAAGGAGGGCGACGGGAGAAAGGCGAGAGGCGACGGAAACGACGGGAGAAAAAGCGACGGTCTGTAAGCGACGATGACGCCTCGAGCTCTGATTGGTCGGGCTCCAGTCGTAATAGCAGCGGTAGTGAGAGCAAAAGCAGCAGCGATGCGGATTCTGATTCGTCGTCAGACGATCGCAAGAAGAAGCGGCGGCGGGAGAAGCGGGAGAAGCGGGGAAAGGAGAAGGAGAAGCGGAGAAGGAAGGAAGGCGGGAGGGAGAACGAGCAGGACGGCGGTTCGGCAGAGGACCGGTTGGAGCGCGATTTGCGGCGGATGATGCGGGAGTTCCCGTTGGACGTGTCGCACGATCTCGTGCGCCTCCTCGAGCGCGTCGACGGCGGCGAGGCGGTGGACGTTGGCGGCGTCCCCGACCGCCGCCTCAAGAAGCTTCTCGGAAGCATCTTCCGCTCGCTGGGGATAGATTCCCAAGGCAAGAGCAAAGGGAAAGGCGGTAAGAGTAAGCGCGCCTCGTCGTCCTCCCGCGCTTCGCTGTACCACCTTCCCAGTGCGGCTCCGCGCTGCCTGCCACGTGTCGTGCCGCTAGTGGCCAATCTGCTGCAGAATCTGCCGGATCCCGATGCTGCTGCTGTTGGGGCTGGTGGGGCTGGGGCGGAAAATGGTGGCGGTGGGGGGAAGGGGGAAGAGCGCGGAGAGGGGAAGGAAGGCGGAAGCGACTTGGCGGAAGGGGGGTTGGGAAGGGGAGGAGACGAAGCGGCAGTGGTGATAGGCCCCTCGCTGAGGGGAGGGGGCGACGAGGGGGGCGAGGGGGGTGGGGAGGGGGAGGCGGAGGGCGGAGTGGGGAGAGGAGGGAGAGGGAGGGGTGAGGGCGAGGAGGGGGAGGCAGCAGAGGCGGCGAGGAGAAAACGGTGAGCAGTAGTCGATGGGGAAAAGAGCTTAAGAGGGGCATTTGCGGGAAGAGAGATGGGAAGATGGGCATGGGAAGGAATTGGGGCGTTTTAGTGGAGCGCGGGTGTGTGCTTGGAGGGGGAGCGGGGCTTTGCCGTGGTTGGTTCATTGCAGCGGTGCCTGTGTGCCCCCTCTGCCCCACACCACGTGTGGAACCCGCCCTCCACACCATCCGCTCCCTCTCGCCCTCGTCTCCCTCACCTCCCTGTACCACTCTTCACTTGTTTGCATAGCAGCCCCCCTCCTTCTGCACGGAGGGTTATGCACCCCCCTCTGCACGCGCAACCTCCTCCCCCCCTGCACACGCGCCCCCTCCCCCCTCCTCAAGGAGCATTCCCAATTCCCCCCAAACCCCCCCTCCTCAACCCCCCTCCCTTTCCCAATACCCCCCTACCACCATGGGCCAGGCCATGCTTGCAGCAGTACAGATGGTCCTTACATGTTTTCCCCCCAATACCCCCCCTCCCTCCATTTCACCCCGCTTCTCTCTCCCCCTGCAGCAGCACCGGCCCTGCCATGACCACAGCAGCGCAGGGTCTTCTGACACGTTCCCCCGGTATCCCCATAGTATTCCCCCAATATGCTCGCATTTTATTCAACTCCCCCCAAGTCCTCCCCAACTCCCCCCAGCTCCTTCCAACTCCCCCGGTCCCCTGCAGGTGCATGGGCCCCGCCATGCCCACAGCAGCGCAGGTGGTGGTCGTCTGAGTCCTCACACGTCCCCCCCCATTGTCCCCCCTCCCCCCATTCCCCCTCCCCTCTCTCTCCCCCTGCAGGTGCATGGGCCCCGCCATGCCCACAGCAGCGCAGTTGGTCTTCCCAGTCCTGACATGTTGCCCCCATTTACCCCCCCACTTCCCCCTCTTTTCCCCGCTCTCCCTGCAGGTGCATCGGCCCCGCCATGCCCACAGTAGCGCAGTTGGTCTTCCCAGTCCTGACATGTTGCCCCCATTTACCCCCCCACTTCCCCCTCTTTTCCCCGCTCTCCCTGCAGGTGCATCGGCCCCGCCATGCCCACAGCAGCGCAGTTGGTCTTCCCAGTCCTGACATGTTGCCCCCATTTACCCCCCCACTTCCCCCTCTTTTCCCCGCTCTCCCTGCAGGTGCATTGGCCCCGCCATGCCCACAGCAGCGCAGCTGGCAGCTGCAGCGTCGCTCACCCGCGCCGTGGAGGAAATGAAGTGAGTGTTGGGGGGGAGGGGAGGGAAAGAAGGGGGGGAAGGGGTGGAGAGGGGTGTAGAGGGGTTGAGCGTGGGTGCAGCTGGCGGCTGCAGCGTCGCTCACCCGCACCGTGGAGGAGATGGAGTGAGTGGTGGGAGGGATGTGCAGTGAGAGGGGCGGGTGTTGGGGGTTGGGCGTGGGTGCATGCAGAGGGAAAGGGTGGGTGCAGTGAGGGGCCATGCCCACAGCAGCGCAGTTGGTGGCTGCAGTGTTGCTCACTCGCGCCGTGGAGGAAATGGAGGGAGTGGTGGGGGGAGGGGATGGGGAATGGGGGGTGTGGGCGTTATATCGCAGGGAGAGCACACGGATAGGTGCAGCTGCAGCTGCAGCGTCACTCACCCGCGCCGTGAAGGAGATGCAGTGAGTGGGGGGGCGAGGGGCGGGGTGTGGGCGTGGGTGCACAGGGTGTAGTCCCCATCATCAATCCTGAATCACGCGCCCATCGATCCTCAATAACCCCGCCAACATCCCCCACCATCCCCCATCATTCTCCACCATCCCCGACCGTACCCCACCCATCCCCATCATCCCCCATCATCCCCCTCACTGCATCTCATCGCAATCACTGCAGGTAGGCCGAGCAGGCGGTGCAGGAGAGCCCCTTTGTTGGCCCCATGCCTCCCTTCCTGGCTGCTGAGGTGCCTGTTGCACTCGCAACAATTGCCCCCTATCCTACGCCCATCATTCCCCACCATTCCCCACCATTCCCCGTGGTTGCAGTGAAGCGGAGCAAGCATTGCAAAACAGCCCCTTCGTGGGCCCCATGCCTCCCTTCCTGGCTGCTGAGGCGCGTTCACCCCCCATCAACCAACATCGTCCCAAAATCCTCAGACCATCGTCTTCCGCTCCCAATCACTGCAAGGAGGCGGAGCAGATACTGCGAAACATTCCCCTTTGTGGGCCCCATGCCGCTCACCGTGGCTGCAGAGGCGCTCTCACCACCAACAGCCAACATCGTCTCCCCATCTTCTCGTCATCCCCATCATCAGGGAGGCGGAGCAAGCATTGCAAGACAGTTCCTTTGTGGGCCCCATGCCGCTCACCGTGGCTGCAGAGGCGCTCTCACCACCAACAACCAACAGCATACCCCCATCATGCCACTGCGCCCCCCCCTCCCGTGGTTGCAGGGACGCGGAGCAAGCATTGCAAGACAGCCCCTTTGTGGGCCCCAAGCCCCCCGCCCTGGCTGCTGAGGCGCTTCCAAACCCAACAGCCAACATTGCCCCTCTATTCCCCCTATCTTCCCCCTATCCTTTCCCCACCACCCAATCACTGCAGGGAGGCGGAGCAAGCATTGCAAGACAGCCCTTTTGTGGGCCCCATGCCCCCTGCCCTGGCTGCGGAAGCGGCCAACGCGACTCAGGCGGAGAAATACGAGGAGGTGAGGGCATGTAAGGGGGATAGTGAGTGGGGTGGGGAATAGGAACTGAGGAAAGGTGGGGAGGGGGGGGGCAAGAGGGGTCCCATGCCACCCATCCTGGCTGCTGAGGCGGCCAACGCGACTCAGGCGGAGAAATACGAGGAGGTGAGAGGGGGGAGGGGGGGGTATTGAGTGGAGTGAGGAGGGTGAGGGATAGGTGTGGTGGCGAGAGGGAGGCCCATACCCCCTGCTCTGGCTGCTGAGGCGGCCAACGCGACCCAGGCGGAGAAATACGAGGAGGTGTGGCAAGGGGGGTAGTGAGTGGAGTGGGGAATAGGAGGCGTGTGCACTGCCTGCCGGCCATCACATCATGTGTTCCGCCTCCCCTCCTACTGTCTCTTCACCCGGAGCTGACTGCGTATGCCATCGTGGGGGTGACGCCTGCTGCCGTGCACTGCCTGTGTGCCTGTCCTGTGTGCGTGCGTGCGTGCCTGCCCCATCGTATGCTGCTCGCGTATTCCCATCCCATCATCTTCTCTCCTCCTCTCACTGTTTACCTCACGCACACCCCCACCACACAGGTGGAGCAAATTCTGGACCGGACCTGATGGCGTACGCTATTGTGGGGGTCACCGCTGCTGCTGCGCGTTGCACGCTGGCAGGGGCGCCGTATTTCCATCAACTTCTCCCCTCCTGCGCTCATGCCTTCCCACCTCCCCCCCTCCCCCCCAGGTGGAGCGCATTCTGGACCCCGAGCTTACCGCGTACGCCATTGTGGGGGTGATTGCTGTTGCTGCTAGCATGGCTTACACGTACTGCTTGCCTGCTGCTTGCACGCCTCCCCTTCATCGCCTGGATTGTGCTTCCCCTCCTCCCCCCTCTCCCCCCCCTCCCACCCCCTCCCCCCAGGTGGAGCGCATTCTGGACCCCGAGCTGACTGCATATGCCATCGCGGGGGTGACCGCCACTGCTGCCAGCCACTGCATGCCTGCCTGCTCTCCAACGTATCATGTTCACGCGTGCCCTCCTACTCACATGCCTACCTCACAACACAACCCCCATCACACAGGTGCAGCGCATTCTCAACCCCAAGCTCACCACATACGCCATCGCGGGGGTGACCGCTACTGCTGCCTGCATTGCATGCCTGCCTGCTCGCCATCGCCTGGATTGTGTTCTTCCCCCCTCAACACCCAACCCCCCTCTCCCCCCCCCAGGTGGAGCGCATTTTGGACCCGGAGCTCACCGCGTATGCTATCGTGGGGGTGGCGCCTGCTGCTCACAGTCACGCTTGCCCACCCACTCACATGCCCTTCTCGCCCTCCCCCTTCAGGTGGAGCGCATTCTGGACCCCGAGCTCACCACGTACGCTATCGTGAGGGTGGCGCCTGATGCTGCTGCCAGCCACTGCATGCCTGCCTACTCTTCATCGCCTGCATCGTGTTCTTCCCCCTTCCCACCTCCCCCCCTCCCCCCCTTCAGGTGGAGCGCATTCTGGACCCCGAGCTCACCCCGTATGCTATCTTGGGTTGGGGGTGGCGGCTGCTGCTCCATGTTGCCTGCACGGCACTTCACCATATCATGCTCACAAATACCCTCCTCCCTCCTCACCCCAATCTCAGGTGGAGCGCATTCTCGACCCGGAGCTGACCGCGTACGCTGTCGTGGGGGTCACGCCTGCTGCTGGCAGCTGCTGCCATGCACTGCATGCCTGCCGCGTACGCTGTCTTGGGGGTGACGCCTGCTGCTGCGCGTTGCACGCTGGCAGGGGCGCCGTGTTTCCATCAACTTCTCCCCTCCTGCGCTCATGCCTTCCACCCCCCCCCCCCCCCCCCCCCAGGTGGAACGCATTCTTGATCCGGAGCTGACCGCGTATGCTATCTTGGGGGTGACGCCTGCTGCTCACAGTCACGCTTGCCCTCCCACTCACATGCCCTTCTCGCCCTCCCCCTTCAGGTGGAGCGCATTCTGGACCCCGAGCTCACCGCGTACGCTATCTTGGGGGTCACGCCTGCTGCTGGCGACGGCGAGATCAAGAAGCGGTGAGGATGGGGAGGGGGCGGGAGGGGGGGGATGGAGGATGGAGGAGGAGAGGAGGTGTTGGAGGGGGGATTCCTGTGGTAGGGGGGGGATTCCCGGTAGGGGGGGGATTCCTGGTAGGGGGGGGATTCCTGGTAGGGGGGGGATTCCTGGTAGGGGGGGGATTCCTGGTAGGGGGGGGATTCCTGGTAGGGGGGGGATTCCTGGTAGAGGGGGGATTCCTGGTAGGGGGGGGATTCCTGGTAGGGGGGGGATTCCTGGTAGGGGGGGGATTCCTGGTAGGGGGGGGATTCCTGGTAGGGGGGGGATTCCTGGTAGGGGGGGGATTCCTGGTAGGGGGGGGATTCCTGGTAGAGGGGGGATTCCTGGTAGGGGGGGGATTCCTGGTAGGGGGGGGATTCCTGGTAGAGGGGGGATTCCTGGTAGGGGGGGGATTCCTGGTAGGGGGGGGATTCCTGGTACAGGGGGGATTCCTGGTAGTGGGGGGATTCCTGGTAGAGGGGGGAATCGTGAATGTGGATCCACCTTTCATGGAGGAGTTAGCTACTGCAAGCCCGCCAGTTGCCATGTGTTCCCTTCTGCGTCTCTCTTTGCCTCCTGTTTTGCTCCTTTCTTGCTTCCTTCTTGCTCCTTTCTTGCTTCCTTCTTGCTCCTTTTTTGCTCCTTTCTTGCTTCCTTCTTGCTCCTTTCTTGCTTCCTTCTTGCTCCTTTCTTGCTTCCTTCTTGCTCCTTTCTTGCTTCCCTCTTGCTCCTTTCTTGCTCCTTTCTTGCTTCCTTCTTGCTCCTTTCTTGCTTCCTTCTTGCTCCTTTCTTGCTTCCTTCTTGCTCCTTTCTTGCTCCGTTCCTGCTCCTTCTTACCGAAGCTGTTTCCTTCCCACCGACATCTCTCTACCTCCAGTCCCTTCCTGAAGCACCTACATTTCTCTCGCACTCAAAACCCCGAGTCTATCCTCGTCCCGTTCGAACAATCTGTCTCAGATACTGGAAGGCGGCGTTGCTTCAATCGAAACCACAATCCCATTTCCGTTCTCCCTACCATGCCATGCCCTTTTACCAGTTATTGAAAGGCATCCCTGCTGGTGCATCCAGACAAGTGCAGCCACCCGCGTGCACGGGAGGTGCCGTGATTTACCCACTCCATTCCACAGCATGAATCTTTCACACCCTTGCATCTCTACCCCACTCCACACAGCTACTGGAAAGCATCCCTGCTGGTGCATCCGGACAAGTGCAGCCACCCGCGTGCGCAGGAGGCGTCATGAATCACCCTCACGCCATCTCCATCCCACAGCATGAATCCGAAACGCCCCTCCATCTCTCCCCCCCACTGCACACAGGTACTGGAAGGCGTCGCTCCTGGTGCATCCAGACAAGTGCAGCCACCCGCGCGCTCAGGAGGCGTTTCTGCGGCTCAACGATGCAGTGAACCGACTCAAGGACCCGACAAAGGTGGGATGACTCTTGAACGCACGAGTGGAAGGGATGTGTGCAGCTGTGCACGTGATGTGCGCACCAAGGTACTACTCAGTGCCTCTGAGGCTCAACGACCCCACCAAGGTGTGATGATGCTCTTGACAGCCCTTTAAGCGTCCAAGTCAAGAGGTAAGGCGTTTGCCTGTGCGTACATATGTGTCTGTGTCTGCGGCTGAACGATGCAGTGGACCGACTCAAAGATCCCACCAAGGTGGGATGATGCTCTTGAACGCATGAGTGGGGGTGATGTGTGCAGCTGTGCATGTGATGTGCGCTTCAAACGCTAGAACGCTAGAGTTGTTGCTTGCGCCCATCGTTTGTGTTTCTGAAGATCAGTGACTCTAAACCCCAGTAAGGTGCGCTGCTCTTGAACTTGTTTAGCCCTATGGTGTGGTGTGCCACCAGACATGCGTGCAGTCGTACGCATGTGTATGCATATGTTTGTCTCCCTGCAAATGAACAATTCATATCGTATGCATGCCCATTTTCCTGCTCCCTGCATGCTTTTGATGTCTGCAAGCTTCTATCCCTGCATGGATGTATGCATATGCATGTGCGTAAGCATCCTACTCCCATCAATTCTGATGGATGCGGGGTGTACGTGTATGCACATGTGTGCGCATGTGTGTGTGCATGTGTGTGCATGTGTGCGCATGTGTGTGTGCATGCGTGTGCGCATGTGTGTGCGCATGTGTGTGTGCATGTGTGCGCATGTGTGACGTGTGTTTGTGTGTGCATGCATGAATGCATGCATGGCTGTGCATGGCTGAATATGCAGAGGTCAGTGGTGGATGCGGAGATTGCAGCCAGGGAAGAACGCAAGGCCATGGAGGTGAGAGAGAGGGCATGGGGGATTGGAGGGGTATTCTGGAGGCATATGGTGTCATTTGGTGTATGAGGAGAAAGGACACTGGGGTGTGGCGAGGTGAACGAGTGCAGAGGTCAGTGGTGGATGCGGAGATTGCAGCCAGGGAAGAACGGAAGGCCATGGAGGTGAGAGGCTACGGGGGATTGGAGGGCATGGGGGATTGGAGGGGTACTCTGGTGGCATATGGGGTGATCTGGTGTATGAGGAGAAAGGGCACTGGGGTGTGGCGAGTTGAAGGAGTGCAGAGGTCAGTGGTGGATGCGGAGATTGCAGCCAGGGAAGAGCGAAAGGCCATGGAGGTGAGAGGGAGGGCATGCAGGATTGGAGGGGTTCTCTGGTGGCATATGGGGTGATCTGGTGTATGAGGAGAAAGGGCACTGGGGTATGGCGAGGTGAACGAGTGCAGAGGTCAGTGGTGGATGCGGAGATTGTAGCCAGGGAAGAGCGAAAGGCCATGGAGGTGAGAGGGCATGGGGGATTGGAGGGCATGGGGGACTGGAGGTGTATTCTGGAGGCATATGGTGTCATTTGGTGTATGAGGAGAAAGGGCACTGGGGTGTGGCGAGTTGAAGGAGTGCAGAGGTCAGTGGTGGATGCGGAAATTGCAGCCAGGGAAGAACGGAAGGCCATGGAGGTGAGAGGGCGGGCGTGGGGGATTGGAGGGTTTTTGGGAGAGATATGAGCATTGGTGGGATATGAAGGATGTTGTTGGTGGGATCTTAGGGATGCAATTGGTGGGATAAAAGTAGGATGTGTGTGGTGCGGTTTGGGAGCGATGCATGTGCTGAGATGTAGTCTTGGAAAAATGATACCTGGGGGGCAAGGGAATGGGGGATGGGTAGAGTGGGGCAATGGGGATTTTAGAGAATTCTCAAAAACCAGCTCGTATGGAGTGTGGGAACGGGGGGAATGGGACAACGTCTCCATGGTGCCATGCCAATCCCACGGCTCTTTGTCACGTCCCTTTGTATCTCCCACTTCCCATCTCCCTCTCTCGTCAACTGAAACCCTCGTCTTGTGTCGTCTTCCCCCTTTCCCCTTCAGGTGGAGCTGAGGGCGCTGAGGGAGGCGGCTGAGTGGCGCAAGCTCAGAGGTGGGTGGGGGGGGAGAGCGGAAAGGGGGGAAGCAAAGGGCGGAGCTAAAGGCTCTGAGGGAGGCGGCTGAGTGGCGCAAGCTCAGAGGTGGGTGGGGGGGGGGGGCAAGGAAGGGAAGGGGAGGCGAAAAGGGGAGGTGGGGGAGGTGGGGAGAAGGGCAGGGCAGGTTTTTCCATCCCCTCAGGCGGAGCTCAGGGCGAGGAGGAAGGCGGCGGAGTGGCGCAGGCTCAGACCAAGCGTGACCACCCGTAATCACCCGTGACCATGCAAGCGTGACCACCCGTAATCACCCGTGACCAAGCAAGCGTGACCACCCGTAATCACCCGTGACCAAGCAAGCGTGACCACCCGTAATCACCCGTGACCAAGCAAGCGTGACCACCTGTAATCACCCGTGACCAAGCAAGCGTGACCACCCGTAATCACCCGTGACCAAGCAAGCGTGACCACCCGTAATCACCCGTGACCAAGCAAGCGTGACCACCCGTAATCACCCGTGACCAAGCAAGCGTGATTACCCGTAATCACCCGTGACCAAGCAAGCGTGACCACCCGTGACCACCAGTGACCACCCGTGACCACCGTTGACTGCTGTTGACTATACTTGCATTCACCAGGCGAGGCCGGAGAGAGGGGAGAGAGGGGGGGTCAAGTGCGCGCAACCCTTCCAGCCTTAACTCCTCCCTATCTGACTCCTTAACCCTTCCACCGTTGACCACCCTTGACTGCACATGCACCAGGCGAGGCCCTGCCAGGGGATGGCGAGCTGCTGGGGTTTAGCAAGCATAACACCTTCGCCTTTAACTCCTTTCTACTTGACCACCTTTGATCACCCTTGACTGCGCTTGACTGCCCTTGACCACCAGGCGAGGCCCTGCCCGGGGATGACGAGCTGCTGGGGACGTCGAAGAGGGAGGGCGTGGAGCGCGAGACATGGATGACGGAGCTGCCACCTGAACGACAGGTTTGTGTGGTCAGGTGTGGTGTGGTGTGGTGTGGTGTGGTGTGGTGTGTCAAGCTGCCGCCCCAGGGACAGGTGGGCGGTGAGAGTGCGAGACAGGTGGGAGGGTGTGGAGCGCGAGTCATGGATGACGGAGCTGTGAGGTGCATTTTGAGGCGCCTCAAAATGCACCTCACTGCTCGCGGATTTCATACGGAGAGGATTATTACAGCTTGGAAGTGTGCGTGTAACTTGCAAAAGTTACTGGTGCGCGCGCGGCTACATCAACGAATTGGTTGACGAAGACTTTTCTCGAAGGCTGACTTTGCACCCTGGGTGTACCCCATTTGCTTTGTTGGCCGAGTGCATGTCACTCTGGGTAGTCGACTGTACATATGTAGATCTCGAGGGCATTTTGCTAGCTACTTAGCTTGCTTCTGTCCGAACTCTTTCTCTTTTGTGGATCTGAGTCACACTGATGAAGGCTAAGCGGGTATGATCCCCGTAAGCCGAAACATGTTTGTGCTGTAAGGATTCTCTTTAGCGAAGGGGTTTTACGGTTTCTACTGATCGTTTTTCCAGGAAAGATTTTTTCAGTTTCGTTTCCTTTTGTTGCTTTAAGCGCCACTCTTTAGAATTGCTGCTCTTCCACTATGAGCGAAGACCCTTGGGACACTGAATGGTTTCCATCTGAAGAGGAAGACGCCGATTCTGAAGAACGCAACTCGTTGAAGAGGCAACGTAGGAGTGGAAACAAGTCGCGTTCTGCTCGAAAGGCTTCCGGGCAGCAGCAGACCGGCAACAAATTTCCGCAGCTGGCGTTAACCTACGAACCGATTCTACGAAGTGAGCAACCGCGTGATCCTCCCGCTGGACCTTCTCGAATTCGTCCTACCGTCATGGCGGAATCCACTGGTGCGACTCCCATCCAGGATCCTTTCAAGGGATGGCTTGCGGAAGCAGTGAGAGATTTCCGGGACGATTTCAAGAAGCTGCTTAAGGCGAAAAGCAAGCTTAAGAAGATGATGGAACTCGATGCTGAAGGCACGATTCTGCATAGCATCCGTACTAAAGCTGTCGATTTCCAGACTAACATTGACTCTGTCAGGGAGAAAGCTAAGGCGTCCGTTGCTGAAATCCATCTGCAGAATCAGAAGCGGATCCAGGCAGAGTTTATCGCCTCGAAAGCACTGGAGGTTGAGGAGATCGCGAAGGCGGCTAACTCGCGTATCACTGCTCTGGCGACAAGGATGGAGGATTACATACAGGGGCTGAGTGCGGATCCGGACCTGGTGGTGTCTGACGCTGCCAAGGAGAAGTTTCGTCTACTCAAAGGATTCTGCATAGAGAAAGCCCAAGCCGACATCGCTGCTGCCAAGGATGAACTTACCATCCGGGAGCTGGATAGACAACGCAAGAAAGCCGCCGAGGATTTGAAGAAAGCTGCTGCGTCTGAGGAGGTGCAGGAGATGGAGCTAGAACCTGCGTTAGAGGAGATTCTCGCGAAGCATGTTAAGAAGATTGAAGACAAGCTTCGCAAGGAAATTACTGCGAAGGTTGAGGCCAGTCTTACGAAGAAACTGCAGAAGAATCTCTCTCTTAAGGAACAAGACCCTGCGCAGGCCACTGCTGCCAATCCGAAGCAGAAGAATACGGCGGGAAAGCAGAAAAGTCAGGAGAATGGCAACGCTGCACCTGCTGGATCGAAGCCGAGGAGGAAGCGGGGTGGGAAGAAAAAGAATCAGAAGCAGAATTCCGGCACCGACAAAGACAAGCAGGCGGGAGGCCCTGTCAAATCTGATGCGGCCAAGGGACCAAAAAACGGCGGAGGCGGCCCCGAAAAAGGGCCGCGCAAGAAGAACTAACCAGCCATGAGCTGGCTCTCCGTTGGTTTGGACGGCTGACGCCTCGGCAAGCTGCGTTGCGCGTCCAAAACCGCGGAGTACACAACCTTAGCGCTAAAATCTTATCTTCGGATGAGAAGACAGCGCTGGGGTTGGGTTTGAAGTTCATCCCCACGCCCACCGTTTCCCTTTCGGCCGGAATTGAGCTCGATCAGCTTTTCCGGCAGATCTCGTTACATTTTTTCTTCAAGGATGCGGACGGTCCACTTAGGGATTCGCGGTTTCGTGTGCGTAACCCGACGTGGCTGCTCGATCGGATGGTGATTCCGGAGCAGGTCTTCAAGGACTCGTCTTCTGACTTGTCCGTCTTGTTGAAGGCATCTCAGCCTGACCGACGTCGGAATCTTTCAGCTGGCGTTAGGAAGGCGTTGCGCACCATCGCTGCGGATCGAGACGTGGTGATTAAACCGGCTGACAAGAATGTTGGGATTACCGTGATGGATCGGGGACATTACATTCGGTTGTGCATGGAGCACCTTGGTGACAGCACGACTTACTCTCTGCTCTCTCACGATCCTACCGCCGATGTCTACCGGAAGCTACGTGAACTGCACAGCGTTTGGGGCCCTGCTCTTCCCGAAACTTTGTGGAAGTATTTTTTCAACCAGCCGCCTGGAGGGTGGAAGCCCGCGGCCTTCTACATCTTGCCGAAGCTGCATAAGAAGAAGCTTGTGGGGCGCCCGATCGCCGCCTCACACTCATGGGTGACTTCGAACGTTAGCCGTTGGCTCGATGCTGAACTACGACCGTGGGTACTGCAGCAGCAGACATACCTCCGTGATTCCCTCTCGCTACTCTTGAAACTGGAAGAAACCGCCTTCCCGAAAGGGATCTTCCTAGCCACCTACGACGTTACTGCTCTCTACCCCAGCATTCCACTTCAGAGAGGTATCGACGCAGTGAGTAGCATTCTTCAGAGTGGGAAGTACCATAATCACCTCCCGGTCATCGCCTTGCTGAAGTGGGTGATGATGAACTCTGTTGTTGAGTTCGACGGCCAGTTGTACTTACAGCGACAAGGAACTGCTATGGGAACTCCTGCAGCAGTGTGTTTCGCGGTGCTGTTTATGAGCCGTCTGGACGAGGTGCTGAAACACAGGTGGTCCGGGACGCAGCCGTTGTGCCACGTGAGATACATCGATGATGGCTTCATTGTTTGGCCAGGTTCTCGGAGTGAGTTGGAGTGCTATCTCAGCACTTTCAACGGTTTGGATCCCAACATCAAGTTGACGTGGCACATCTCGGACTCCTCGGCTGACTTTCTTGATATGGTCATCTTCAAGGGACCACGTTTTGCCGAGAAGGGTAACCTGGATCTGAAGACATTTCAGTAACCCATGAATAGTTACCTGTACCTGCCGTTTTCTTCTTACCACCCGCGACACTGCAAGGTTAGCTTCATCCTTGCAGAACTGAGACGGTACCTGTTACGCTCGACATCTGCCAAAGCTTTCCTAGCCTCTAAGCACGAATTTTTCCATCGGCTTAGACGTCGCGGTTATCCTGGGGACTTTCTTCTGCCCATTTTTCGGAGTGTGTTCTTCCGAAACCGCCCTCTCCTTTTGGAGACTACTGCTGCGCGCCAAGCTCACAAGCTCATCCCTCTCCCCCAACGCGGACCCCTGGTCTTGAAGGTTCTGTTCACTCCGGTGACAGTTCGCCTCAGGCTGGGGGTCCTTTTGAGGCGCCTCAAAATGCACCTCACTGCTCGCGGATTTCATACGGAGAGGATTATTACAGCTTGGAAGTGTGCGTGTAACTTGCAAAAGTTACTGGTGCGCGCGCGGTTACATCAACGAATTGGTTGACGAAGACTTTTCTCGAAGGCTGACTTTGCACCCTGGGTGTACCCCATTTGCTTTGTTGGCCGAGTGCATGTCACTCTGGGTAGTCGACTGTACATATGTAGATCTCGAGGGCATTTTGCTAGCTACTTAGCTTGCTTCTGTCCGAACTCTTTCTCTTTTGTGGATCTGAGTCACACTGATGAAGGCTAAGCGGGTATGATCCCCGTAAGCCGAAACATGTTTGCTGCTCTTCCACTATGAGCGAAGACCCTCGAGACAGGTGGGAGGGTGTGGAGCGCGAGTCATGGATGACGGAGCTGCCTCCTGAACGACAGGTGGGTGTGGTGTGGCGTGGTTCGGCATGGTGCGGTGTGATGTGGTGTGGAGCACGAGACGTGGATGACGGAGCTGCCAACTGAACGGCAGGTGGGGTGTGGTGTGGTCAGGTGTGGCGTAGTCAGGTGTGGCGTAGTCAGATGTGGTGTAGTCAGGTGTGGTGTGGTGTGGTGTGGTGCAGCGTGATGTTGTGTGAAGTGTGAGACATGGATGACGGAGCTGCCTCCGGAACGACAGGTGGGTGTGGCGTGGCGTGCCATGGCAGAAGCAAATCGGATTGCATGTGCAGGCACGGGATTCTCCGAGCCACGGATTGGTGTGTGGTCTGGTGACACTGGACAATCACCAGGTGCCTTTTGAGTCGACTCAAAGTCGCCTCGTAACAATGGCACACTGGACAAGCAAGCACAAGGTCCTCCAATCAAATCAAATCAAATCACAGGTGAAGAAAACCCTGAACCTCGACAGTACAGGAGTTGGGGAAGGGTTGGGTTAGTCTGGCATGTGGTGGTGGCTACTTAGTCTTGGGATGGATATCCTGTGAGCCATTTGAACTTTGGTTCGCTCTGGTCGTGGCCGTGTTTGCATGGTGGTTGCGGGTAGAGGGTTTGAATGAGTCAACGTGCACCTTGTGAAGCACATGGTCGTGCGTGTTCAGCTGCAGAATTTGCATCGCACTCATTAGTGTGTGGCATCATGGAACCGCCTTCCTCGCACCCCTCCCCAACTCTTTAGTGTGCCGAAGTGGCCTCATGCCTACCCTCTGCTCCATTTCTGAGTCGACTCAAAAGTCTGCTCCATTTCCTTTCCTTTCTCTCTCCCTGCCCCTTCTCCCAAACGCTGCCCCCTTCCATCTCCCCCCGTCCATGCCCTTCCAGGCGCGCCCGCCAGCTCAGACCAACACGTTTTTCAGTCGCAGTGACAAGGTGGGGCGGGGCGACACGTCAGCATGGACCGACAACCCCGAGCAGCGAGCTGCCAGAGCCAAGCAACAGTGAGCGCTCGTTTGCTTGCCTCACACACGCAACTCCTGACAGCCTCATCCACTCCTCACTCGTCAGCATGAACAGACAGCAGTGAGCTTTAGGTTGCTTGCCTCACCACTCCGCACAACTCTGCATCCCTGTTTTACCTCTCATTTTTTCTGCAATTTTCTGCCCTGCAACCTAATGGGAAGGGCTGAGCACAGGCAGATTAGATGAAAGGGCAGATAGCTCATGTGTCTGGACGCGACTCACGGCATGCTCCCATCTCATGCCCTGCTCTGCCCGGCCTCACCTCCCCCTCACACGCACACTCCGGCCTGCCACATGCACAGCCACAAATCCCCTCACTCTTGCTCCCTGCAGATCTCGACCCAGCCCCCACCATTGTCTTGCACGCCTGCAGGATCCTAGACTCAGTTGCAGCCTGCCAGGGCCAGCGACCAATAACCAGTCCAGGGCCACAATTTTCCCCCATCCACAACCCCAGCTTGAGTCATACCCGGACACCTGCCGCCATGTTCCCAAACTGCCATTCCCCTCTTTCCCCTCCCTGCTATGCCCCAACTCCCCCAACCGATTCTGACTAAACCCGCTTTACAGCCCCGGAGGCTTGTTCCTCTGCTGCTGATGCCCCCTTTTCCCCACCCTGCAATGCCCCAACCCCGACTGGTTCGACTGAAACCTACACGCAGGCACCTGGAGGCATATTCCTCTGCTGCTAATGCCCTTGAGGGCCCTTCTGCTGACTCAGCAGCCGCCCTGCAGTCACTACAGGACAAGCGCACGGCGGCACTAGTGGACAACCTTGCCGCCCAGAAGCAAGCGGTCTCATTGGTGGAGCAGCACCGGAAGAAACTTATTGAAGAGAGCAAGAAAAAGAGCAAGGGGAAGGAGAAGGGGAAGGGGAAAGGGGAGGGCGTGGGGAAGGGAAGGGGGGGGAGTGAGAGAGGGGGAGGAGGGGAGGCGGGATGGAGGATGTGGGACAGGGAGAGGGATCTAGAGGTGAAACCCAAGGCCATGAAGTGGACGGCAGACGGCATGGCTCAGGGCCTCTCAGGGCGGTTCTCGGGCGCACAGACGGGCAGCCGAAAGTTTTTGTAGAAGGGGAGGGTGCGGGAAAGGGGAAGGGGAAGGGGGAGAGTGAGGGAGGAAGAGGAGGGGAGGCGGGATGGAGGATGTGGGACAGGGAGAGGGATCTAGAGGTGAAGCCCAAGGCCATGAAGTGGACGGCAGACGGCATGGCTCAGGGCCTCTCCGGGTGGCCTCAGGCGCTCATTCAGGCAGCCAAAAGTTTTTGTAGAAGGGGCGCTGGGCATGTACTGGTATCGTGCCTCAATATAGAGGTTGATTGGTTATTATTCATAACCAACTTGATTACACGGTGACAGAAAATTCTCACGTACAAATGAAAGCTGAATGCAGCAATTATTTACAACTCTGGTAAGTGTACCGATGCATGAGCTGACACGTCACCAACTAATGCACAGCATTAACTACGCATTCTACGAACACCAATTTTTCTAACAGCGGGGCCTAACACTGCAGCGGGGCCTATTTCGACGAAATTGCAACTGCGCCGCTGCACTTCTCGGCGTTTAGGCGGTCCGACGGACTAGCTGGCGTACGGACAGAATACGAAATTGCCCGCCGTGGAAGCACCCTTGCCGTGCTTCTTTGGCTTTCGCTTTTTCGAGCCGCCTTTCTTGCCAGACTTCGCACCGTCCGTGCCAACGCCGATCGACGAGCCGCTGCTACTGCCGGCTAGATTGCGAAGATCGCTGGCGCCGTCGCCGAGGAAGCTTGCGACGTCGCCGGCGGCGTCGTCGAAACTGAGGTCCCCGCTTGTGATAGCCGACTCGACGGGGAACGTGGTCGCACGCGGCAACAGGTGCAGCACGAGGAGCGCCGCGAGGAGCGCGAGGAGAGAGAAGCGGAGAGCGTTCATACTTGAGGGTACGGCTCGTGTGGCAGATACTAAATAAGCAAGGCGGAATAGGCTCTCAACAGGCTCGATGAAATAAAAAGCGCGATTGATGTTGGCGCTGGGTAACAGAGCTTGTAGTTCGAATCTGTCTTGAGACTGGACTGGATGGTCTAATGCAGAAAGCTGGTAATTAACAGACGCACTCATACGTGTTCGTGCCGAACTAGCAACATTCTCTGACGAGGCGCATTTCTGCACCCTGCCTGACCGACCGACCGAACTGTCTTGGAGAGGTCTCATCAGCACGACTAGACTTGTCGTCACGTGAGTGACATGACACGGCGCCTCGATTGCGGTGCCGCCAGCATGGCTCTGTTCTGGTATCAACTACACTATGCTAGCCTGTGCTGTGCTCCAAAATCTCTCCTATAATCTCACGCGACGTTGCGGTTCGGTGATGCTGACTCAGCGAAAGGCATGAATTGAGTGGGGAGTCGAAACTGTGATTCAAAAAGAAATGATCCACCCTGACCAAACTTGCTTTCGGGGGCACGTGCATCACATTTTCCGTGTTCCCTCGAGAAAAGACGAGCGATGATGGCCCAGTTCACAGCCGCAAATTTGTCGCAAAGATATGTCGCGAGTCGCGACGTCTCAAACAAGCGCTGGAGTGTGCAACTACAATCCCAAGATGATCCCTTTTTCATCGTTGGATAACATGAGTCCGCACGATGAGAGCCGTCTATTCTCCAGCCCCATACACGGGAAGATTGGGTTGAAGGTACCGAAGCGCGGTGTAAAATCAAGGGAGTTGTACTGTACCCTGCTGGGCCGAGTCAAGAGCATAGGAGAGTGCTTGTAAAGAGATGCGTGCTTGCACCCGCATTGGGTTCCTTGCTCGAGACCCCGTCAGAAATCCATTACTGTGTTTACAATACATTCCCTTCCAGTCATAAAAATATGTGTCAAATAAATGGCAGCATGTTGACCAAAATCAGAAGAGCTGCTGCTTTGTTTAGGGTGGCACTCATTGCGATCAATTAGTGTGTTTATGTGGCACTAAACGGGCTTCAGTGCATACGGGCTAAATGTGGCAGCATCAGGACACCAAACGTGAGTGGCAACATGGGATGGGAGGCATGCCATCATCATTGGCGCAAGAGCGGATTACTTACATGGTACTATGGCCTGGTAGGTTCTACGGCAACAAATATAAAATCTGGCCTATCCTTGTCCATTGGGCGCCGGTGAAGAGTCATTTTGCCTGCGCTTGGCTCGGTAGTGGCAGGACCTTAGGTACTGGTTCCATTCGAAACGGGTAAGCAGCATGAATTGGTAGCCTAGAGGCAGCAACACCTGCAGCTGGGACGACAGCACGGGCAGCACCACAGGTTGGCAACAGCAGGAGCAAGCGAGCATGGATAATGAGATTGCACATCCCATCATTCGCATGATACAGCTCAGATCTTACAGAGTCAAAGCAAAATGTGCCTTCACTAAGGTCCCTTTCACATTGCGAGAGGATTGGCCTTCGATCTCGCTACGCCTCGCATAGCACACTTAAACAGCTCTCTTTGGCCCACTCTTGGTTCTTGTATGAGCTTGAGTCTTCAGCCACAAACGAAGTACACGGCCAATGTGAAAGTTCATTCCAGATACACAGCCAAACTACACATCCGATGCAATCACGGACCTCCACCTAACGCACAAAGGCATCAAGGCAATCTACGTCTAATCTACCTCCATTTTAGAAAATTTCGCACTACATCAAAACCAAGCGAGAAGAGCACCTAAGGCTTCAAGTCACGCTGCAACGCGCCAAGCCAGCACCTAAAACAAGGTCACGTCCTTCTACAGGTTAGTAGGCCGGGCTCGAAAGTCTCGAGGCCCGAGAGCCTAAAGCCCAGCGCTTGCGGCGACGGTGGTGCGGAGCTAGTAGCTCTTGCAGCAGACGAAGACGCCGTTCTTCTGGCAGCAGCCGCCCTTCTTGCAGCACTTGTCGCCGCCGCAGCACGGGTACTCGGGGCTCTGCGCGCACACGCGAGTGTTTGGAGGGTAGGAAAACGGGCGCAGGTGAAAAGTTTAGAGCAAGAGCCGCGCATTGCGTATGGCCACGGCGGCACGATAGGCTCAGAATCGGGGAGCACGAGGGGTATGGGGATGGGGAGTGGGAAAGCGAGCACTACGGACACGCAGACCGATGGTAGAGTCGTGCAGAAAACACTAACAGGCAATCGAGGAAAATGGTACAAATGACAGGGGAATAAGGGACGTGGAATGTAGTGGGCTCATCTCGATGAAACTTACAATGCAGCACGCACCGCCGCAGTACTCTTCCTTGGGCGACACGCCAGACTTGCCGGCATAGGGGCAGTAACCGGTGCCGTCGCCGGCCGCGCTGTGGCGCTTCTTGTGCTTCGGCTTGTACGTGCCCGTCGCGCCGGCCAGGATGCGACGGTCTGCGACGTCGTCGTCAGCGTCGTCGACGTCGTGGGCGATCGCCGACTCGACGTCGGACGCGCGCGCCGGCAGCATGTGCATCACTAGCGCCGCCGCGAAGAGCGCGAGGAGGGATAAGCGGAGAGTATTCATCTTGACGGGTATGGCTGGTGCGACCGAGTCTAATTTGCAAAGTCGACGAGAAGCGGCGGGTGGAAAGCGAAGGCGAAGAGTTGAAGTTGTTGAATGGAGTTTGATTGTTAGGCTCGGTTGGTGGTTGCTGGATGAATCGATGCTGGTGGCAAGGAGTGTATTTGTACCTGATGTTCACAAGTCGAGGCGCAGAGCTGCGTAAGCAACGAGCTGGAGAGAGAGCACCGCTTGATCGGTTAGCTGAACGCGTTTGGCCTTGACGGTGAAAAAGCGCCTCGATTGCGCGTGTCGCAAGCGTGGCTGTGGTGCCTGAGCGTATTCGTGCTGCGTGCTCCATGCTGCGCCCTGCTTTTCCTGCAGCGGTCCTGAAGGGGTGAGTCAAGGGCACAATACGGAGTGTGCTTGTGTGGAGAGGAGAACCCGCGCCGCCACTCTTCGTCCTCCAGCATACGGGTCGCGGTGACGGGCTGTTGGTCCATGGATCACGGGGTCTCGGAAACGTGTGCATGCGATGCGACAAGGTAAATTGATACGATACCATGTGATTATACACTTCCAGTCAAACTTACCGTTAAATAATGGACAAGCAACCTATCCGTATGCTATTACAAGGAATTTCCAACTCCTTCGCTTAGGCTTGACGATGCGTTCACCACTCATCTTCCAGCCCCAGCTGCTAACGTGAACCATTTTCCTGCTGAATGTTACGTCAACCGCAACTCTAGCAAAACCTCGGCACCAACACCATAGAATATTGTAAAAAAAAGATTAAATATTTACTTTTATCATGCTTCCATTCATATTTTATCACTTGATTGCAATGATCGCTCACTCATAGAATCCAACTTCAAGTATCAAACATTTATGAATATAAACATTGTGAATTTCGGATCACGCACCCTGACAAACCACATAGGGCCCCTAGCCCGTCTTATGCCGAGGTCAAGTACTAAAGTAGATTCGTTGTCGCATACGAGAAAGAGTCGCCATGTCGCTTTGCCGTTACACCTTGCACACGACGAGTTCGGACCCACCAACTGACGTCCATCCCTGATGCCAATGGCGAAACATTCGCAAAAGTCGCAGCTGCGGAAAGAAGCACATTCGCGAAAGCTCTAACAGCCCCTTGTTTGTCGTGATCCTTGAACACCTACCAAATCCAGCTGTTCACAGTTGGCTATATTTAGTTTTCTGTTTTTTTTTGTGTTCCAGTATTCGGAACATAGAAACAGAATTTATGGTTTTGGTACACGTACCAGGATGTTGGTTTTTTTTCCTCACGGAACTGACTCCGACTTGAAGGCGTTACCGGCCTCTCTCCCCTGATTTGGTGAGATTGTTGGAACGATGGTTGATTCGGGAATTCACCCTCTTAAATACGGGCTTCTCAAACTGCAAGCCCAGCCACAAGGGAAGAAAAATCTGAACGATTGCCCCTCGTGGAACAGCTGGCGCTTGACTGTCGTTCTGTTCTGTCCAGGACACCTCTGTCTTGTCGTGTGGTGACCACTCTGGCATTCGTTTGCAGCAGACAAACTGCTGTTCGATTGATGCCGCGTGAGGTGAGTCAGTCGATCCCCCTGGCACAATCCTCCAGCCACGTCAGGTGCACTTCTCCCCCTCCTTCCCCAACAACCTCCGCCTTCTCCTTTGTGCAGTGAAATTTATCTTCCCCTCCCCGCCAACTCCACTTCCGCGCCCCTGTCCCTTCTTGTTACCCTGTCCCCCCCCTCCTCCGCGCACCCGCCTCTTGGGCCTCTTCCCTGTCCTCTTCATATCCCTACCACCTCCATTCCCTTCTCCACTCCGCTCATCTCTCCGCTCCAGCACTGCAGTTGATCACCCACACCAGCAGAGCAAAAATCGCCGAGACTCCCTTGAAAGCTTCAATAACCGTTCCTGCCGTTATCTGAACGTGTCAAAGTACGACGTTGCTTAGGTCGTCTTCATCCCTACGTGCACAATGGCGCACATAGTAAGAGTCCTCACGCTTCTCGCTCTCGTCTCGTCCTGCGCCGCAATAGTGGTCGATGGAAACGCCGACTTGATGAAAGCTAAGGAGGCGCTGAAGAAGTGGGGCGAGTACAACACGTACATGACCCTCCTCCAATCATCTGGTAATTTCTCGACCCTTAAATCCACGCACATCCTCAGTAAACGCCGTCATTGTGTCAGCTGCATTACCTGGCCTGCTTTGTGTTTTTATTTGTTGTCATTTTTTGTCATTTATATTAACAAACTTTTCTTTCCATCTCTCCCGCTATTTTCTCCTTCCTAATGCAGGTTTCGAGCCCATCCTCGCGCGGTACATTCAGACGCAGCCCGTAACCATGCTGGTCCCCAACGACAAGGCTTTCGCTACCCTCCCCATGCGCGTCAAGGCGCAGCTATCCGGCTCCAAGCTCATTAAGCTCCTCGAGTTCCAGATGATTCTCCAGAAGCTTCCCTCCGGCTTCCTCAAAATGGCGCAGCCCGGCTCGAAGTTCCGTACCGTGTACGGCGTAACGCTCGTTAAGCAAAAAGCCGCGCTCAAGAACACCGTGATTCTTGGCGCTCCGGGCGCGACGATGCCGTCGCAGATGGCAGTGGTAACCCGGGGGGACATGGCGGCGGCGAAGCTTATGCTGCTGTGCCTACACGGCACCAACAACGTCATCCTCCCTCCCAACGTCTTCTTCTAAACGCCGCTTTGGTTTCGGCGTGATCGGAGTGACGTAATTCCATTGTCTCCCCGTTCTCGATCTTGATGAGATCGTCTGCTGTCTTCAACCGTTGATTCTTCTCAACCCGCCCACACGGACCAACCATGCCAGCCGCGCCGTCGCCTCCGTCTGTTCACGGGACAGGGAGATTCTAAACGTCGCGTTTATCAACCTCCCGTCCATGGCTCCTCCACATCGTCAAGACTCTCTCCGTCCGTCGTCCTTCCGTCTCCCATCCGCAACCGCGCGATTCCACGCTCGTGTCAGTTTGAGCTCGACTTACCGAGGCGTTTCTTTGGGGAAAAAAAAACCTGACGTTATTTTTTCATTCGTTTGCGATAAACAGCTATACGGGTTTATTAAAAAACTCGGTTCTGGTATTATTTTATTCATAGTGTTTGTTCATACTGTTGTCTGTTACAAAGAGCACAGTTGTCTAATGCTCCTCGCCAGCGCCTTCCTCTAATTTCTGACTTGAATTTGTTTGATGTCTATTGGGGCTTGGAGTAGTTCAATGATGTCATGTATAGTACAGGTTTTTTTGGAGAATTCTGAAAGTCAGGGTTAATCATGAGCCTTAGTTGTATGGTTTATCTGGACAATATGCGGTATGGTGTAGAAATTGGGCCTATAGCTTCGTCCACGAACTTCCACGGCCGTGTTACACGCCGCCAAACCCGGATCATTAAAAAAATTAGAACACCTGGAAAAGCAAGCTCTGATTATGTGGGCGCGCTTCGCGATAAACTTGCGAAGGCCCCTGGGCGTCCAGCTCGACAAAATCAACACCTGTCGAACCTGGCAAAGTGAAAAACGCCCTGATCCTTGCACTCGCTCGAACACTCCTGCACCTGCACAGTACATCATCCGCACCGCACCGCACCAACAAATCAAGAATGGCAATGTATGTTTCCCGCACCAGCAGAGCACGAATCGCCGATGCTTTCTAGGAATTCATTTCTCACGTTATCGATCCTTCCGCTACAAAAACGCTTCGAAGGCCCACGTTGCTTAGGTCGTTTTCATTCCTACGTCGCACAATGACGCACGTCGTAGCAAGAGTTCTCACGCTTCTCGCTCTCCTCTCAGTAGCCTGCGCGTTTACAGCGGTGGACGGACGAGCCGATTTAAATAAGGCTTTAGCGGCGCTGACGGCGACGGGCAAGTACAACACGTACTTGTCGTTCTTCCGATCATCTGGTAACCTCTCAACCCTAACGTCCTTGCACGTCCTCTCTTGCATTCCGTCAGACCGCCTGCCTCATCACCCGTCTCGTTAAGTTTCTCTTTATATTTCCACTTCCTTTTTTCGTCTTCTTTGTTTAACCCTTATCGGCAAACTCATTATTTTCTTCGTTATTTTCTCCCTTGCTATTCAGGTTTAGACCCCGTCCTCGCGCGGTACATTCCCACGCAGCCCGTAACCCTGATCGTCCCCAACGACAATGCTTTCATCACCCTCCCCATACGCGTCAAGTCGCAGCTCTCCGGTTCCAAGCTCGTCCGGCTACTAAACTACCACATGATTATCTCGAAGATTCCGTTCGCCTCCCTTCAGAAGTTACTGCCTGGTTCGAAGTTCCCCACCGTATACGGTGTAATGATCGTGAAGCAAAAAGCAGAGCTCAACAGCACCGTGACGCTCGGGCCTCCTGGTGCAACGACTTCGTCGCAGATGGCAGTGGTAACCCGAAGCGACATCGGGGGGGCGAGTTTGTCAATCTGATTTGTGTCCAAGGCATCAACAACGTCATCATCCCTCCCGACTTGTTCTAGACGCTCTTCGGCGTATATCGGCGACAGATCACGGCAGACAGATTCGCAGCCCGCGACGGTACTGATCATCTTGGGTTTGTCTGCTGTCTGTCACTGTCTGATCCTGCAATACCCGCCGAGTCTGACCACCCAGGCCAGCCGCCTCACGCCATCTCCTCCGTATCTCCTGGGTCAGGGAGTGTTCAACCATCCGTCCACCTATAGGTCCGCTGAAACAGAAGTTCAGTCCAACACTGTGCTTGTGCGTTTTTGCACGCACGTGTATATACTCGAGCTTGTCTTATGTACGGTACTACCTACTACCTAGTACGGACTAGATCTGTTTTCACAGGTTTCCACAGGTTTTTTCAAAGCCAACTGTAAACGTTCCATCCCAGCCATTGCTTTCGGAAATGAAATGTCAGAACCTCAATCGGATGCCTTCGTTAGTGCAGGACATCAAGCACTTCAACAAGAAGTAAACCCTACGCAGCACACCAAAAACCCTACCCTACCCTACCCTTCGTTCGTTTTGCCTTCGTAAAATATCACTACGCTTTGCTTCTTGTGTCGGTTGGGTTGGTGTGGTGTTGTTAGAATCTAGCAGCAGGAATGGTTGAACTAGCAGCATGCAGGAGTACAAGTAGTAAACCCTAATTTGGGTTGTACCCCATATGGGCTACCCCACTACAGCCTAGACAATATGCAGCATATGTTTGACACACCCCCATAGGCAAAGTGGGGGAGAACAAGGGGTCACACGACCAGTCAAGAGAAACAAAGCAAGCTCAGGGTGGATCACAACGTCACCACACACTCCGAGCACAAGCAAAGGGCCACAAGGTCAGTTCACATGCAGAGATATATATATGAAGCAATAACAGTACAGTGATGTCTACCTAGCAGAAGCAGGCATGCAGGTATATATATAGATCACCGTACAAGCAAAGACTACAACAAGTGTGGAAACGTAGGCACAAGGCCTAACAGGGTACAAAAGCGCTGGTGATCACAAGACGGGAGTGCCTTGGTGAATATATCAGCAGTGTTGGCCCAAGTGGCCACGTGACGAAGACGAAGCTGACCTCGCTGCTGCAACTCTCGAGCCAGGAAGTAACGCAGAGCGATGTGCTTCGTTCTGTGCTCCAGTTTGTGCTCCTCACACAAGGCAATGGCGGCCTTGTTGTCGACGTACAGCACTGGAGGAGAACGAGGCTGCTCTCCCAAGTCAGTCAGCAGGTAGGTGAGCCAGCGTAACTCCTGTGCAGCCATGGCTGTGGCGTAGATCTCAGCCTCACAACTGGAGCTGAGAACTGAAGACGAGCGTGTAGAACGCCACGAAACTGAACCAGAGCCAAGGCTGAAGGTGTAACCCTGTGACGACCGCTGAGTAGCCTGGTCGTCAACCCAAGAAGCGTCTGAGTGCCCAGTGAGGACAACTGGGCTCGTCCCTCCAAGCACTAGCCCCATGCCTGATGTGCTGCACAAGTAGCGCAGTACCCTCTTAGCAGCAGCCATGTGCTCAGGTCGGTGCCGACCAGGAGCCACGTAGCGAGCCAGAAGACCAAGAGGGTACGCGAGGTCAGGTCGAGTGCAAGTCATCAGGTACATGAGGCAGCCAACTAGCTCTGGGTAAGGACCACTCGGCTCTACGGACTCGTCCGAAGGTGGAGCTGAGAGAGAGTGACCTGTAGCCAGAGGAGTGGCTTGTGCTGAAGACCAAGTGAAGCCGAAGCGCTGAAGGACCTGCTGCACCATGTGTGACTGAGTCAAGGTGATGGTGCGACGTGCTCTGTCTCGGGTGATCTGCAAGCCAAGGTAGCTGCGCAGCTCACCCAAGTTTGTGGACGTGTGTCTCTTCTGCAGCTCCGACTTCACGTGGGCGAGAGCCTTAGTGTCAGCAGTGGCAAAAACCAAGTCGTCGACGTACACGAGGATGTAGAACGGCGGCAGGGAAGTGTCGGTGCGCAGAAACAGCGACGGGTCAGCAGTAGAAGGTGCGAACCCAAGAGCCGCAAGCGTAGTCCTCAGTGTGTCGTGCCACTCACGTGGCGCCTGGCGGAGACCGTAGACTGGCCGCCGGAGGCTCCACTGGGTGCCAGGAGGGAACGACCCAGTGAAGCCCGGGGGGCGGCGCAGCCAGATCTCCTCGTGCAGGCTGCCCTGCAAGAAAGCTGTGCTGAAGTCAAGAGAGTGAAGCTCGTAGTCACGGTGAGCAGCAATATGCAGCAACACCCGAAGAGTGGTCATCTTCGGGGTGGGGGAGAAGGTCTGGAAGAAGTCAACTCCCTCTCGCTGACTGAAGCCTCGAGCCACGTAACGCGCCTTGAAGACAGGCGGAGAACCCGGCGGCCGCTTCACCCTGAAAATCCACATGCCACTGACGATGTTCGCCCCAGGTGGGGGAACCTCGTCAACGTAGGTGCCTGTGGACTTCCAGGAAGCCATCTCTGCGTCCATGGCTGCCTGCCACTGAGAGGAGTAGGGACCCTCTATCGCCTCTGCGTAAGAGCGCGGAGTCGGGATGTCTGGTGCATCCGGGTCTCCCTCAGGGGCAAGTAGCGAGGACACAAGATGGGGTACAGCAGCAGCAAGACACTGGAACTCCTCCTGCCTGTCCTCAAGGACGTCCGTGCTAAGAGCACACTCACCCACGACGGACGGAGGACAGACAGACTCAGACTCAGCAACAAGACTGGCGGCGTAGTCTAGACGACAGGCAGCAGCAAAGTCAACAAGCTCAGCGACCAAGGCAGACGCAGCAGTAGACTCAAACGACGGGTCAGTGACAACAGTGGCTAGGAGACGCGTGACAGTAGGGTGCTCAGTACGAAACCGGTCAGACTCAGGGTCCGGAACGGCAGGCAGAGAGGACGCAGGGGGAGACGGCAGAGGAACAGGCTGCGGAGCAGAGGAAGGACGACGGACAACAAGGTGTGCGCTGGGGACAGCCGGCTGACGCGCACGAGCGACACGACGAACGGTACGACCAGAACGAACAGGCGAGACAGGACGCGACGCAGGCTCACGACGCGTAGCAGGACTGCCTGTCTGCTCAGTGTAAGGAGAGGGAGCAGGTAGCGGTGAGCCAGTCTGTAACGGAAGACCAGTAGACGACGGGAGAGTAACAACCTGACGAAGAGCAGAGTCAGGCGGCGGCTGAGACGACGGAGACGGCGGAGCGAAGAACAGTCGTGTCGGCGCAGCTGCACCAGTACCGGCAG